TGTGTGGGGGGGGGGGGGTTTCTGGGTGTGGATGCGGGTTTTCGTTTTGGGCGGGGGGGCATTTTTGGGGTGTGTTTGAGGTGGATTTTGATTTGGGATGGAGGTGGATTGGGATGGAGGTGGATTGGGATGGAGGTGGATTGGATTGGGAAGGATTGGATTGGGATTGGTGATGAGGTGAGGTGAGGTGTGGTGGTGGTAAGGTGTGGTATGGGTGGAAGGGAAGGAAATGAACAAAGGAACTCTACCTTTCCTTAATGATATGACAATGTGGCTTGTAACTTAGCTTTCACCCCGAGCTGAGGGTTTTGGGGGGACAAAGGATGGGCACGGAGGGGGGTTTTGATGATAGGTGGGGTACGGTACGAGTATGTGGATGTGGATTTTTGTGGGGATGTGTGGTTTTGTAATCTGTAGAGTAGTGGTTTGGTATTGGTGGTTGTTTGTTAATGGTTGTGTAGTGGTAGTTGGGGGAATGATGAAATCTGGTGGAGAAAGGTGTCTTTGGGTTAGAGTGAGCTTTATATATATGGATTGTACTCGAGTATGAAGTATGGTTCTTTTTATTTGCGAGAGGGGGTTTTTACTGGATGGGTAGGGGGAGGGAATATCCGTGCCGGAAAGGGAAGTGGGGGCGAGGGGTAAGGATGTTCTTATAGGGTGGCTTTATTTATCGCGGGTAGTGTGGAAGTCGTTTATAATGTTTAGTGTTAGAGTTTATACGCTTTTTGAAGATTTAATACTCGAGTAGATGTTTTGTAGGGGGAGCGTCGACGAAGATATAGAAGGGAAATTGTAAGAAAGCATAGATGGAGGAATTTCTGTTGTTTGGTATTGTTATTCTATAAGGCTTGGACAAGTAAATGGTTTAAGTGACGTTACACAGGATTATATTTTCTCGCGTAAGGATTTCATTTTGCTCTCCTTGTCCGATCTTTTCTAGATAAACCAATATTTTCTCTCGTCCACTCTCCAATATCCCTCGCTCACTCCCATCTTCTTTGGGGGCAAGGAAGTGAATATATCCGAGCTCCATCCATCTAACTCAACACTTACATCTTTTCGAACATGTCTCAGACCTATCGCTACTTCAAAGACCATTGTCCTCACCTTCTCCCCTCCTCTTATTGTCCGTAGAATCTCAGGTCTCAGTCTCAGTCTCAGATCAACTTTCTCTTCCACACGATACGCGAGGAAACCTTTCTTTGTAAGAAAGCACCATCTGTTAGATGCAGCTCTCCGCGCAGATTCTCATACTCGGGTGCTACCTCGTTGATGCGAGGTGTTGCGGAGAAAGGGCTTTGTTAAAATATAGATAAATAGTGAGATGTATAGGTAGCGAGTAAGAATTCCGAAGTGATCTTCTCATACATTTACTTTGGGTCCTTGGAGAAGAATTGTGAGTTGTGATTCTTGAAAGGGAGGTTTTCACATTCCAACGTCGAGAGAACCAACACTTCCAACCAACGACGCCGCATGATACTGGTATTGGGACTGGTATCACACCACGTATCTACCGTACCGTACCTCTTCTTTCCATACCTCAGAGAGGAAACAACAAGAGGAAGTCACTAAATTAAAAAACCCTACTGTACATCCAGAATGCGTCGCATTCCCACCCCTCGTCAAAACCACCATTCTCCTCCCCTCTCACCCCTCTCACCCATCTCACCCATCTCTCGCACCCCTCTCAAATCTTCTTCACCAAATCCCCTAATTCCAACGCCTCCACTCAGATTTCCGGACTCGCAAAACTATCATAAAACAGTATCAATGAGGGTACCAGGAAGATATCCAGGCCAGAATGCAGAGAAACTGCGTTGGAGGTGGGTGTGCTGTCGTTGTGGACGGGATAATGAGGGGAATGCGGGGTTTTGCGCTACTGCTGCGTGTGGACATTGTACGGATGGGTGTTTGGGGTGTTTTTCTTATTGAGTGGTTGGGAGGGAGAGTAGTTTGAGGGTATAGGGGGAGGGGAGGGGATTATAGAGAGGGGTGTAGTAGTCGGTCACTTTGTGGTGGAAGATTCCTTGTAGGTCAATTCAGTCAAGATGATTTTTTTTTATGCGAGGCATTTTGAGTGTGTGAGAAGGAGCTTGATGAGTGATAGAAGTGCAGTTCGGATGATGGAGGCTTAAAGGGCGTCTAATTGACCTTTTTTTACTTTGGAATCTCGGTTCTAAATACCTGTAGATTTCGAAACTAGTTACCTCGCTACAGTATCCACATTAAGGACTAAGAAGATATCCTAAAGTCTCTATCGAAGAAGACAGGTAAACCTTGTGGAGCATTCTTCAAAAGTGTATCTGACATGAAGCGTCGCTCGATCCACCCGCAGAAAGTAAAGGAAAGGCATCCTCATCGGACCGATTCTATGTGCGTCCGAGTAGTCACGGGCGCACCCGACTGAGCACTTTGAGCTCTCAAACTTTGCGTATTAATCGAAAATTTATGTAAGCTAGTGAAGAGATCTTCGAGTCAGTTACACTTCTTGAAAGTTGGAGAGCAAAGCAAAAGTGAGTGGGATCACTTGGATCAAGTAAGCGAGAAACAATAGGTAGAGTGGTACAGGTAGAATCTCTCTATTGACATATTGACATGTTGACAATTTGTTACTAATGATGTGCTTGTTGAAGTGATCGATTACGGTCTCACTATGCTTCAGACTTCTGCGAGAACGAGCTACAGAGCTGACGATTGGGAGGTCGTTGGGGATGTGAAATCCAGATACCCGGGTAACGTTATGGATGCTGGCGACATGGGCTTGAAGTTTATTTGGGTCCCCCGCGAAGTTAATCGTCGAGGTAAGATTTACGAGCCTTACAAGAAAAGTGTCAGCTAGCGAATCCGAGCTGGTACCGCAGAGATTCGTGAGAAAATGGCTGAAAACTAAAATTTAGGATGGCCAATGACTTAAAGTTTCTTGATATATTAGTGAAGCACTGAAGAAACGTTATCAGATGAGTATAGAAGATCTTTTGACTGATTCGAGTGCGTGATGGCGGTAACAAGTAGCTCCTCCGGGTCCTTTTCAAACATGCACCCTTGTATATCTTATCAAATTAGTCATTCAGCAATTTCTGCATTTCTTTTCGGTGCGACAAGACTTCGAATAAGTAGATCCTTAAAGATGTACCATACAGTACTAGTTTAGACTGGAGAACATAGCAAGGGAGGCTATAGAAGATATACAGGACCCCCAGCAGCTGGGGCTCAGCTCTCTTCTTTCATCAGCAGGACGAAACCTAGGCATAGAAAATTGCGCTGTGCTGCTTACAGTGTCAGAGGTCTTCATATCGCAAAGACTCGATACAAAGATATGCTCGGGCGGCGACTTTTGAAGGATATTTATCCCTACAATACAGGACACCCAAAGTGAACCACACCAAAACTAATTCTCGACCATTTCGACACTTCTACCACAACACTATAACAACAACAGCACTTAATGATTATTTAAATAGAGGAAAAGATACGCTTACTAGCTTTATTTTCATTAATTTATACAAAATTTAGGGCTTACATTTATTAAGTCTTAGTATTTATTTTAATTTTAAGCCCGCCCTATTTTTCCTAATACGGCTTAACTAAGGGCTATATAAGAATTCTAGTAAGTGTATTATTTTTCTCTTAGTTTAAATACCCTGTGTATCTACTAGTAACTAGGGCTTAACTCTTAAAATAAATAGTTCTCTATAATTAAATATAGTAGTACCGATTTGAGTACGGTTTACTTTTGTCCGATACGAGGCTATACGAGTGCCGGTACGAGATCTTTATAAAGGGTAAACAAGTTGTTTATAATCTAAGGACTTAATTTATAACTTATTATAACTATAACGTGCATGTATAGCGAACCGGCCAAACAAGCGAACCGGCCAAAATTTTCTACACTCGCGATTGAAATTGTAAGAACTCTACCACAACGCCTCTAATTAAAAAACACTATTCAGAAATTTCTTCCTCAGATACTTCCTCTATAATATTACAGGTGCGCGTATTATGACCAGTCTCTCCGCAGTTGCCACAGCGCCGTGCACGTGATTATTCCCTCGGCTTCCGACCACTACTTCTCTTTATTTCCTGCATTACCTGCTCACCAACGTCTCTATCATCCTGTAGGTCCTGCGCTTCCTGTTGACTAAGTGATCCTCCTTGCTGTAGGCGTGTTTTTTTAGCTCTACGGCGCTTACTTAGTACTTCATTTGCTTGTCGAAGTCTCTGGTTCTCAGCTTTCAATAGTACTATCTGGTGCATTACTTTTGATGCACCCTTCGTAAACTGGTCAATGGCCTCGTAAATAGGGGTTGGAGAGCTACCTTGGTGGCGTAAAATTCCATCTTTAATAAATGCAGTCTGTGATAAGGCTTCAGTAGGGTTATTTGGTGTCTGGGAAACCCAAGGCTGAGCGGAATACGGGGGGGAGTTTGGAGGCGTTGGCGTCTTTAGCTTAAGATCAAGTGTAGAAATTACACTTTCTGGGTCAAATGGAAGAAGCCCAGCCCCTCGGAACCCTCCTCGGATATTGCTTTCTGTCATTGCAATATTAAATGCGGCGTGGAAGGCAGGAAAGAAATCATCCTTAGTAATGTGGATGATCGGAGCCCGCATCATATCTTCAATTTGCTGACCATATGCCCTTTTCAAAGGGCTAAAACAGCCAACGTCGAGTGGCTGGAGTATATGAGAAGAATGAGCAGGCATACAAAGAGTGATAATGTTGTTTTCCTTGCAATATTCCTCAAATTCGTCGGAGTGGTGGCTTTCATGGCCGTCGAGGACTAATAGACGATAACCACCAATAGATTGGGACTTTGTATGCTTCTCAAAATGTCGAATCCAATCCATGCCTTTCTCATTTGTTGTCCAACCATTTTCAGTAATAGCAATCACCCAGTTAGGTGGAAATCCACTGTTTTGGTACCAAGAAGCGAGGTGATCTTTTGCGGCAACAATCACAAACGGTGGAACACACCAGCCTTGGGCATTAACCCCCTGGATTACTGTAACCCATTCCCGATTACCAGGCTGTACTCTTTTTGCTTTTACACGTCCTTCTGAGCTTGTAATAACCATTGCAGTTGAGATAACGCCCATCATAAACCCAGTCTCGTCAAAGTTGTAGATATCTGCATCGTAGATTCCGTACTTCGCTATTGTGTTTCGTACAAGCTCAAACCAGCCACGAATGACTTCTGGATCTTCGCACTTAGCTCTCTGATAGTCGTATTTTCGTTGGAAGCGTGTCTGGAGTTCTGGGCGGCGCTTAACAAAGTTATAAGCCCAACGCGTCCCGACGCGTGGCGCGTCGCGTGCTTCAAGAAGTCGATTTGCTATATCTTCAACTACAGATATCCGCGGAGGAAATCCTTTTGTAGCTAGGTCGAGGATATGTTGAACAAGTACTGATTCCTCTAGCTCGGTCATTTTCCGTGAATTGGCTAAAATATCGCGTCGTGAAGGTATACCAAGCAAACGTCGACCTAGCTTCCGGTGGTCTACAGAATAGGTCCTGGCAGCAGCTCGAGCACGTAAATTTGGGTCTTTTTGCATAGCTTGGATAGCTAAGACTAACCGGCTTTCGTCATTTTTCAGAGGCATCCTTCGTTGTAGAGAAATTTAATATTTCGTGGAGGTGTGGTGGGGTCGCCGGGTTTTGGCCGGTTCGCTTGTTTGGCCGGTTCGCTATACATGCACGTTATTCTATAACTATATATAATAGAGAAAATAATATATCTTAATTAGCTAAATAATGTGACGACACGCACAGCTGATGGACCGCGCACGAATGCACGACTACGCCTGGTGTAAGTTGGGCACTGTGGAACTGTCTATTCGAGGATTCTAAGCTGAAGAGAGAAGAGAAAGAACGGACAGAAGCCCAGGAGCTGGAAGCTCTTATATACCGGAGGTGTGCCAAGCCATAGCTAACCGAGCCGGGCTCGGGAAGCACGGGGCACGCCGGGTGCCAGCCAGGGGCTGGTTTGAGGCATGGTGGCGGTAAGAACCGTCACAAATAAAGTCTACTTACTAGCTTTATTTATATAAAATAATATAAAATATAGGGCTTCTATATATATTAAAAGTCTTAGTCGTTTTAATTTATTAGCTCGCTTATTTTAGCCCCTTATAATAATACTTAGTTAAGGGTTATATAAAAACTCTAGTAAGTATATTCTTATTCTTTTAATCTAATGTCACGAATCACGTGTAATCATGTGACGAGTGAAGACCAGGCGGCGCCCTGACAGGTTAAGCACTATCATATCTCTTATAGCAAATAGGGATCGTTTAGGCTAGCTAAGCGATCCATGGATCTCATTGCATTGTAATCACGTGACCGAGCGACTGTTGTTGGTGTCGGTCGAGTCGCTTGTCACGAATCACGTGTTAACACGTGAAGAGTGAAGACCAGGCGGCGCCCTGACAGGTCAAGCACATCCGTAGACTTATAGCAAATAGGGATCAGCTAGGCTAGCTAAGCGACCCAGGGATTTCCTTTGGTTATAATCACGTGACAGTTGGGTCGCCTGGAGCGACGAGCGCTCCAGTCGCCTGGGTCGACTTGGTAGACGAGCGACTCTAGCGATCCAACTGTTGGAACAAAGAACGGAAGTTCTATATAAGACTGGCACGTCTGCCATTAGATCCAGTCGCCTGGGTCGACTCGGTAGACGAGCGACTCTAGCGATCCAACTGTTGGAACAAAGAACGGAGGTTCTATATAAGACTGGCACGTCTGTCATTAGATAGGAGCTTCCACGTCTGCCATTAGATAGGAGCTTCGTGCTCAACTTAGTTATCAACTTAGTTATCAATCTTATCATATTAGTTTGACATCTTTGAGTTCACTTCCAAGTGAACAACCCGATAGTCTTCTTCTTATCATAGCATACCAACCAGCGAACACCCAGCCAAGTTTAGTTAGCCAGTTTGAGTATTCGTTACAGTATCTTTAATTATAGGTCGTTACTAAAAGTACTACTCCTTCTCCTTATTCTACTTCTTAATTAAGGTCTTTTATTTCTATATTATTACTTTACTCTTATAGGCGTTAGAATAGGAGTAGCGGGTAGCGTAGTATAGCGTCTTATAAAAGTCCTTATAGACTAGATTTTAAAGCCTTGAATAAATTAGTATATAAATTTAACGTAAAATAAGTAAACTAACCTTCTTACTAGAGTTCCGTAAGTGTTTTATACTTCTTTCCTAGGCGAATAAGTTACTCTTACGTTCGAAATACTAGTATAATATCGTTATCTCTTTTACGTTTAGTAAAGACTATTTTATATACGCTATTATTTATAGCTTTTATGCGTAGAATCACACGTATATTACTATTAATTAAGGAACCGAATACGTAGATAGGGGTAAATAGGTATAGATTCGATATCTTAAGCCTTAAAAAGTATATATAAGAAAGTAGGTATTATATAGGCGAACTATAGCGCTAGGTTATAAGATAATACTAGAAAAAGATAGGAGTTCTATTATTTATTATTTATTATTTACTCTACTTTACATAGCTAATCACTGTAATTCTAGTATAGGTCATGCCTAATTTAGAACTTTAAAATCGCATAATAATTAATATCCTTAAACCACTCCGAGCCACTCGGAACGTACCTACAGCTCCTAGTGCTATCCACCCTCCCACCCTAGCATTTCCTTTAAGGACGATTTACCACGGTAGCTGTCAGTAAAATCTTAATCGATAGCGGTGTATCTGTATCGATGCCAGCCAACCCCATACGTATCGCTTGCACAACAGATACCCGTGGTATCGAGATTTGTTATTGACCCCGCAAATAACCTGCATCTATTCAAGACTTTTTATCACCACAGTAACCGAACCCCCTTTCCAGACATATTTTCGTCTCGCTAAAACAGGTAAGCTTACCGACAAGGAACTGTTTACAGTTTTGCTCCAGATCTCCGGTATTACCGAGTACCGACGGCCTATTTGAAAAAGCTAAATTCTGCGACCCCTCGTACAATCCGCTTCGTCGTGTTTTAAAGTCAGGCCACCCTGGTGTATTCAAGATGTTGAAGTGGTGTCAACGTTGCCGGTCATGTTAATTAGACCGGTTCGTTAGCTTTTAAGTTTACCCCAGCTTTGTTTATGATGGTTAGCATAAAACTACCTAGCTAACCCCAATTTCCTCTCGCCAATCAGAGCATTGCTTTTTATCATCCTTCTAATGATTCCCATGGTTCGCGATCCTTAGCTTGTCTTGGTCTGAATTATTGGGATGGGATGGGATGATATGAGTTTGGAATGGTATAATAATAATAAGTAGCCCTTTTCGCTACTCGCCATCCACACACACTGTTTCGAGTCTCTTCCGTGCTAAACACTTCCACTCTTTATCTGCTATTCCCCAAGTGTATCAAGATGTACATCCAATCCGCAACCATCCTCGCCCTCCTCACCAGCCTAACAGCAGCACAAGACGACCCCTCCCCAGCAGACTACCCCTACATCAAACCAGGCGACCTCGACAACCGCTCCGCCTGTCCTGGTCTAAACATCCTCGCCAACCACGGCTACATCAACCGCAACGGCACGCACATCACCAAAGAATCCGCCATCGAAGCCCAAATCCTCGCCTTCAACTTCGACCGCGAAACAGCCGCAGGACCCATCGACGCGGTGTTGAAGTACTCCACAACAAGCACCCCCGATATCTCCTTCAACATACTTGACACCTCCAGGCCACCACTTGACCAGAACGGAAAACTCACGCGGACTGACCGTTTCTTCGGCGACCCTGTGCCATTCAACCGGACGATTTGGGATTCCGTCATTGATAGTTTGCCAGCGGAGGATAATGCGTTTACCTGGAAAGAGATGGCGGATGCGGGAGCGCTGAGACGGATCCGCGCGAAGGCTGTGAATCCTGAGTATGAGATGTTTGAGACGCATCTCAATGCGACGTTCGCGCAGATGACGGGGTTGATTGCGGTGTTTGGAGGGAGTGTTGAGAATGGGAAGGCGAGGATTGATTGGCTTAATGCGAGCATTGTGGAGGAGAGATTGCCATATCATCTTGGATGGAAGAAGTCTGAGGAGATGCTGGGAAGTCCGCAACTTGGACCGATTCTGAGGGCTGTGAGAACTGCTCAGTCGGGCGGTGTTTAAAATAGAGGGGAGAAGGTATATAGAATGTGAATCAGTAATTGAAAATTACCTAGCTAGCCAGGTGTTGCCCTTATGACGAACTTCTGCAAGAGCTCAAATAATTATAAGGTCCAAAGAAAAAACTTCGTCCAAGAACAAGCAAACACACCGAAGAAACCAGGGAATGAAACGAGTCAAATAAACAAGTACAGCCATGCCGTCCGTAGAAGAAAACGGCATAAACGACACTACCGTTTCTCACCTCCTATGCACGTAAGCTACACAACATGGACAAAACAACCCTAGAAAAGTAGCTTGTTAATGATACATATCTACTCCATTGCCCACACAACAGTGGTATTTCGAACAACCTCTAGACCCGTGCTAATATCGGCTCCACAATATCTGTAGCTCATAATATCTCCAATAGCTCCTTCCGTCTGTCTCCTGCTACCTAGATAGCGTACCAAGTTCCATCAACCAAGATTTCGCCATCAGATTGCTTTCGTGGGATCCTCCAAACACCCGTCCAACCTTCTTCTCTGTCATCCGCATTCCTTTATACGGAAATAGGGTATTTCAACCCAGATTCTTAAATGCTTCCAAACATCCATATCAATAAAAGAGCAACACATCCCTCAAAATAGTAAGAATAAGATAGGTTGGACTTTGCCGGAGCTGTTGATTCCGCATACGCTGCTCTCCGGCAGGCTAGAGGCGCCTCCTCCTCCGATTGTCTTGCTCAATTCATGTCATGCTTCGGAGCTGGCCATCTCTCAGCCTCCAGGGTTTCCACAAACCCCACACAAGTAAGTTAGATATTCCAAAAGGTTCGTTTCATCACCCCCTATGATCCAAAACAAATCGACGAGCAACAATCTTCTCTTGCTCCCCTTCCCTCTCTTCCTCAAATAATAATTCGACTTTAGCGCCCCCGTCAACCATTCGCCTCACATCAGCTCGGTAAAAAGTCGAAGTCTGAGGATAAAGCGCCAAAACTCTTCGGCCGGGTTCATAGTCGCCCAAGTGTGCGGATGCCACAGGTATGGGAACCATTTGAGAGGCCGAGGATTTGTATGTCGTTTCCACGGTATTGGGATCCGGATATGGATCACGGACTTCGTAGCGTCGACTTTTCCCCTCTCCGATTACTCGAGTGACTACACCTTGGATCCAATCGTGCTCATCGCCTGATTTTCGCTTGAAGGCTACTTCATCATTCACCGCATACACAATCTTGGGTTTATTCCCGCTTCGTTCGGCAGTCTCGGAATGGCTGTCTGAAGTTCGGATAATCACATCGAGATTCCTAGGTGGTTGACTTCCCGTTCTAGCCGGACCACCTCCCCCTCCTAATTTCCTAACCTGTCTGTTGTCCGCTGGGGATGGACCAGGAGAGTCGGATGGGCCATCATAATCTATAGCCGCTCTGTTATGCGAATCGCGAGACGTGGAGCCACGGGAGAGTGAAACGGAGGCCTTTTCCTTCTTCTCTTCTTCCTCGTTATGTTTCGTTAATGTGGTGAGGAGATCAATCTTCCCCAAAGCACTATCTTTATCCTCTGCCGTTCCCAAGGCAGCTTTCTCGTCGTCTGCAATCTCGACCATTTCTCGGTACATGACGTCCAAGACGTCTATCTCTTCAATTGGAAGTTCTATCCATACAACGTAAGCTTTTATTTGACATAGAAGAGCGAAAATACATGAAATATTTTTCTTACTTTTCCCTGAAGCTTGAATTTCATGCATCCGCACCTCCTGGGCGAATATCTGCATAGTCAGGTCTTTGGCGCGCTTCTCAAATTGTGCTACTCCTTGGATAGATTCTCGTGTGCTGCTCCAGATAGTATTCTCTGCATGTCGTTCATCTGCATTCGCTCGTCCTCCATTACGCCGTCTTCCTGGAGCACTGGACATTGCGACGAGACTCGGGAGAGTTGTATTATAGAGAATCAAGGTGATTATGGCTAGGGCGAGGTGGGGGACTATGTTCTCAAGCCAGTGGAGGTCGACGTCGCTTCCGAAAAGGGGCTAAAATAGTGTTGATTTCTGACCCTCGGCCCTGTACAATCAATGAGACATGAAATGAAGTGAGTAAGGTGCTGTTGAGTGGTGAGGCTGTCGAAGAGCCGATGTCAAAGAACAAACAAGCCTGTAAACAGTACAGTGCAGTGCCTCTGAAGCTAACCCCTGGAGCCAACCCCACGTTTCTTTCTGCATCCCTGTAAAGGTCGGCTGCTGCATCCCGTCTTGTGTTCCACCTTTTTATCAACACCAAAAAAATACTCAAAAGCATACCACCACGCAGCTCTTTACAATGCCTCTCGACACATCTACATACTCACTCGCATTACTGCGACTTGATGGCAGAAGGTGGAACGAGTTACGAAGACTGACGGCCCAAATCAGCACCCAAGTCGCCGCAGATGGCTCCTCTTACCTCGAGATGGGAAACACAAAAGTGATGTGTACAGTTGCTGGTCCCTCTGAAGCAAAGGGTGCAGGAGGCGTACGACTAGGAAATGATAGAGCAGATATCAGAGTCTCAATCAGCATCGCAGGATTCAGCGGCGTAGACAGGAAGAAAAGTGGGAGAAATGATAAGTTCGTCCCTCCTCTCCAGCTCTCAATTGAAGCGCAAAACACCCAGACAGAGAGAAAATTCTGGGCAGATACTAATCAAACTTCTCATACAGACGTCTGATGGAGATGCAACACACAATCGCAAGCGCCTTCGCCCAAAACCTCTTCACGAAACTCTACCCGCATTCCACCATCTCACTCTCCATCCACGTCCTCTCGCAAGATGGTTCTCTCCTCGCGGCCTGTATCAATGCCTGTACAATAGCACTCATCGATGCCGGTGTCCCAATGCATGATTACATTTGCGCTTGCACTGCGGGATCCACATCGAGTTATAGCAGTAATGATGAAACGGCCGATCCACTACTGGATTTGAATACCATGGAGGAACAAGAATTACCGTTCTTGACGGTTGCTACGATGGGCGAATCAGACAGTGTGAGTGTTTTGATTATGGAAACGAAGGTCCAGGTGGGGAGATTGGAGGGGATGCTCGCGGTTGGTGTGGATGGTTGTAAACAGGTCAGGGCGATTTTGGATGGTGTAGCGAGAGCGAGAGGTACAAAGATGCTCGAGGGTAGCCGTATGTGAGGGGAGATGTGATGTGAAAAAAAGTCAGACGGGAGACACAAAATACAACAGAAAGGCGTGCGCGAAGGGCAGACTGGATATGTGTGGAAAAGTGTACCTTTTATGGATGGCCATGATATGATACCCTTGATATTAGGTGTTTTGGAGTTATTAAAAAGGTTGTGATAGGCAGGAGACACATTCTAGGAAACATATTTTTTTCATTTTTTCCAAAGGATGCCTATATCAAGCTCCCAGGCTATTAACTACACCCAAATAAACGCAGAAAATGATGGCGGACCGAGCAATTATAGCTCATCCTTGATCTCTGTCTTGACCTCCTCAACAATGACAGGAGTCTCTTCGGGCTTGCGTTCTTCGGCTTCAGCTTTAGATGGTTCTTCGGCTTCCTCTGGAATCAAGCCAGCAGGCAATTTTTGCTTGGCTCCTTCGCCCAAGCGAATGGCGTCTACGAAACCTTCGATAGCTTCTTGTGATACATCCTTCTCCGCCAACGCCGATTCGGAAATCTGGCGCCACCAGCTTCGTCGTCCATTGATAGCAATGATTTGTGATTCAGCCTCAGCCAATTTCAATGCGGACTTAACTTTTGCATAGCCGGGATTCTTGGCTGACAAGACGTAAAAGGGGAAGATGTTTCTGTGTAACAACTTATACTTGTGTTGGATCTCGGAGAGAGAAACGACTGCTTTGGCGCCAATTTCATCTGGAGATTCAGGGAGTAAAGCCAAAATACATGTTCCTGTACGATCACCTGTGCGAAAAAGTTCAGTTAGTATACCTCAAATCAGATTTTGGGTGACAAAATGTTAGTAGATAATTTTTCCTACCTAGACAGTGGGCTGCTAATTGTGCTTCATCTTCAAGAGTTGAAATTGTAGGAGCTGGGTCTGGTAAAACAATTGGCTTTTGGGTCTCAACCTCTGGTGTTGGAGACTCGGTAACTTCTTCCTCGAGAACTTCCTCAGTGGCGGTACCTGCGGCTGCTGGTGCCTTGGAAGCCTTCTTTGAGTCTGTGTCCTTGGGTTTGGATTTAGATTTCAATGTCTTGGCTTTTGCGGGAGCTAGATCTGGGTTTGGTTCCGCAGCTTGTGAGAGAAATTCGACCATAGGTTCCTTCTTAAGCTCGCCATCATACACAAGCCCTTGTGCTTCCTTTCCACCCGGGAGTAACAAAAGAGTTGGGACTTTTGTGATGCCAAATAATTCCATTGATGCCTTCTCCTTGTCGGTATTTCTGATTTGAGCAACCTGGATGCTTCCCTTGAAATCAATGGCAATCGATTTCATCAATGCGCTCGTCTTGCCCTTGTCCGTGAACAAAATAGCTTTGGCAGTTTCGTTTGCTTCAGCGAGCCATTTCTCCAATGTCTTGTCTTCCACCTTCTTAACAAGATTTGGCATCTTTTCTACCACGGCATCGACTATTCCTTTGGCAGTTCTAGCTCCATTGTAGTCCTCGACAATTGGTTTTCCAGGTGTCTTGCCGGGTTTGATAATCTTGAGGGTTGGGAAACCTTGTACGCCGAAGCCTCCGCAGAATGCCTTATTCGATTCTTCGTCACAGTCGACCGCTGCCACCTTGGCTAGTCCTGCTAGGCTCTTTGCGGCCTTTTCGTATGCGGGTTGGAGGTTCTTGCAATGGCCACACCATGGTGCGTAAAATTCGACAATCTGGAGTTGGTATATCAACATTGTATTTGTTTACATTAGTTTGAAACTTGGAACACTTACTGATGTGTAGTTGGATTGAGCAATCAAGCGGTCATAGCTCTTCCCATCCACCTGAACGACAGGCGAGTTCTTGTTGTAGAGACCAGCGTGAACTGGCAAAGCTGCTAGTAGAGCTGCTGTTACCGTGATGGCGGAGGATTGGACCATGGTTGCTTAGTTACCAGGTGATGATTGCTGTTGTTTGCGCAAGTACGGAGTACGGAGAAGAGAGTTATACCTAAGCTAGAAGCTGCAGAAGCTAGCTGCGGGATGTTGGTCAGTACATAAATGCCCAGTGAGGGGAAGGATTCAGTATTGGCAAGCTGTCCAGAAGCCCGGGCATTTGATCATCAGTGACACAACCCAATTTACAGGGACAAGCGGGGCACCAGGCGGCAAAAGAAGCTCAATGGAAGAAGAGGCCACCTTGAGAGTTTCCAGCCTTGTAAATCATCCGAAGCCGAGATTCAACCGACCAAATTGACTTCCCAAATAAGCTACTCGTACGCTAAGCTACGCTACGCTATTCCCGCTACGAGTACCTGGTATGGTACCCCACGTTTTCTTCCCCTCCTCCCCTCCTTCTCGTCATCATTCTCTCTCAGACATCCACCACCTCAAATTCACCAATCATGGCCAAAACAAAGTCTCTACTGCTTCTCCCACCACCTCCCACAATTGTGGATGCGTCATCTATTGCTGCGGCATATAAGCAGTCCATCTCAGCTACTGTATCAAGCCTCAGAAATCAGCCCACAAGTACAGAGCTTCAAGTAGTACTGCCATGTCCTCCTACGCCTTGGAGTGATACTCAAAACCTCCTGGCTACTTTCTACGGTCTTTTCTGTCTGGTTTGTGTTAATCTTGACGTTGATGTTGACACGGGTACTCCTGGATCGGTGGACGCACGAGTTCTATTGTTAGACTATGATGAGAGTTGGACAGAAAATGCGGGCGAGCAACATGCTCTCAGTGTTCATGCTGGACCAATCGTGGAACTTCCAACATTGGCAATAACTCGTTACCAGTGGGACCAGATCTTTTCCGTTGACGGCGAGGGAGGTCAGAAACTGCTAGCACATTTCGCCAATCTGGCAAACCAAACGAGCCCTCTACTGTCTGGCCAATTCCATACAGTCAGCGGCGGAATAATCATGAAGCAAAATATCCTCAAGGAGCCCCAGGAATCAATCAAATCGTCGTCATACCATGAAGTTGTTGCCGTTGGTGGAACTTTTGATCATCTTCACGCCGGTCATAAACTACTACTTACCGCTACTGCCCTGCTTCTCAAGCCTCAGCCTGTCACTTCAACAAGACTTCGGCGTCTGATCGTTGGTATCACTGGAGACGAGCTTTTGAAAAACAAAAAGTACGTCGAGCACCTAGGTACCTGGGAACAACGACAGGATGATGTTGTTGACTTTTTGCTATCAATACTTTCCTTTACAACACAGGATCGGGAAAGCGAGGTCAAAAAGGTACAATATAATGAGCCGGTTCCAAATGGTCGGGCCATACATACTACCATCAATTCTTCTTTTCTCACAATCGAGTGTGTAGAGATCCAGGATCCTTTTGGGCCAACAATCACAGATAAGAGCGTCACAGCCTTGGTTGTTTCAAGTGAGACGAAATCCGGTGGCCAAGCGGTCAATGACAAGAGGGTTGAGAAGGGTTGGGAGCCACTGGAGGTATATGAGGTTGATGTTCTAGATACCAGCGAGGATATCGACAGTAGTGTCAAAGCAAAAGACTTTTCATCTAAAATCAGCAGCTCTGCTATACGCAAACGAATTGCCGAGACCACACAGAAATCCTCCCTCTAGCTTCATCCTTGATCCTAGATTTCGAAAATTATCAGGCTTGAGTGTCTTTGACATGTCGCCAAGGATATCTCCTGCAGTTGGAAACCGCAGCTGTCCCCCTGTGAACGACCGGAGCCATGTTGGAAACTAGCAACGACATGGCCAGGGTAGCCGAGTTGTGCGGGCTTGACTGGAATGAAAATGTTAGTTGAGAATTTACTTTGCGGAAAATATACTGATAACGAGAATCAGCATTCTTTGGTCTCATCGCAAGTCATCGATCTACTTTCATTGTCTGTCGTCCGAAGTGGTATTTCCAGGCTGGTGTGATCAATTCAACCGATTTCGTTTACAATCCCGAGTTTTTGGAGAACAAACACTTGATTAATTTTGTATGTGCGATGCCATACCAGGATGCGCTTATGTGGCGTAATCAGAACGCCAAAAACGCGTCAAGTTTTCGCGTATCCTAGGACAATCCAACCTCGGTTTGATACAATGTAGTATTTTCACCAGAGATCATAGCGACGGCCCATAATACTTCGGGAGTTCATTGGGTGAACTTGAATACAAAGCTATTCTCTGTTTTGCTTTTTCGAGCATTCACCAACTACGGCTGGTGTTGGAAGGAGATCTGGTGGCGCCACCATGTGCGTTGCTGTAAGAGACCGATCACATACGGAATGCTCGCGAAAGTGGAAATGAAACCAAAGGGGGGGGCAGGTCAAGGGAGCGCGATATAGATGACAGCGGGACACCTTGTCTCTTTTCTGTTCATGAACATCAATTTTTGAAAAAGACCTTTATTGATCATCACATTTCAATCTGAATAGAATCTGGACACGATGTCAAGTAATAGAAAACCTCGCGATCGAAATGGTCGGTTTCGACGACCTACGCCTCGTGCCGAAATGGATCAAGAATACTGAAGAAGTATGGCAAAAGACAGACGGGTTCGAGACTTGTTGTTGAAATCCCTCCTCTTCGAATACACAAGAAACCAACTGTGCCTGTAGTACATGCATGGGAGGAACTCTCTGATACAGACGAGCAGGATGAGGACAGAGGCGAAAATGGAAATGGAAATGGGAATGGGGAGAAAGATGTGCTCGAGGACGAGGGAGGGAACAAGAGACGAAAGATCAGCCAAATCAACAATATGCCATATTCTCAAACCTCTGAGCAGCCTAACGACTCGCATGTAAAGCTCTTCAGCCACTCAAGTCGCAAAAGAACTCACAAAGTACGGAGAGTTCTACCACATCACAGAACACAGGTGGAGGGAGTGAGAGAAAGATCTCGGTCAATTGGTACAGCACTGCGAGAAGGATTAGCAAAAGAGAGAGGGTGCATTGGACAGCCAAATTGGAAACCTCGCTCAGGAATTATACCTTCGACCCATTTGTTGAAAACGTTAAAGACGCGCCGAAATGTGGAGTCGGATCCTCAAACTTACACACGACCGACCATAGAGAGCGAACGAACAACAGCACAGAAAATTTTGAATGCACAGATTTCGCAGAGTGCCCAAAACAGTTCAGGTGGTATGGAGCAGTCGAATGTCGTGTCAATTGCAGAATCTAGGATGGGTAATGGAGTTGCAGTCGTTCGGGGAAGAACAAGTCCGCCGCTTTTTTGTTCAAATACTCCAATGCCTGAAATGAGATCAGAGGAACCTATAATTAAGAGTCCATCTCCAAAAAACCCAACACCTCCTATAGACCGAAGCGAATCCACCCCGCCGCCAGTGTTCAGATTTCTTTCCCCAGTGCCCACAGAAGCGTCGTCACCAACACCTTCATGTCGTCCAGACCCGCAACGTCGACGAGACTTGCTCTTTAGACAAGCTTCTTTGGTGCCATCAGTCGAAGCTCGGGATACACCCGTGGTTCAACGTTTTCAAGAGCAATCAGTCCTGTTCCAGGAAACACCACAGGTTCAGTATGATTTGACAAAAGATACCCAGGAAGTTGCGTAAAGGTGTGTGACTCCCTTGGAGAAGCCGTCTGAGGAATTCCACCCACAGTCGTTTCGTAATTTTCGAGGTAATAGCACATGTTCTCGCAGCACAGTCTCAGAGGTTGAATCCGAAATGCCTTGGGGGTTTCCATTAACAAGATCACCTCAAGTGCCTGAGTTAGCTGGTCCTCTTGGTAATCTTCATGCCGATCAAACATCAACGCCTCCATCGCCTAGTCTCTCTGTCAATGTGTCACCAGTACCTTCGTCTCCTATCCTGCCTGTCAACCGACCAAGACCAAGATCAATTCTCTCCATACCAGACTCTAGTAGCTCGGAGGAAGACTCGACACCTTCCACGCCAGACTTGACCTCAGATGACTCCCTATCCTCACCAATCTCCTCGCCTATTCACGAGAACCACCACACCCCAGCGCTCTCACCAGAACCATTCTCACCATACACATACACTCTCCTCGTTTCCAAAATTTCCACCACTGGCACCCAATCTACTACCCGCACCATAAATGTCCCTTCCACCTACACATTCGAACAACTCCACCTCGGTCTCTTATCTGCTTTCTGTCTCCCCCCAAATCTGCGCTACAATTTCGGTCTCCTTAACCTCTCACCCTCTGACAAAGAAAAGGGATTTGGCTTCGGGAAACCTTATCCCCGTGAACGACTGTTATTGGCAGGCGATAAGAAGAAGGGATTCGAGCGTCATTGGAGGGCGGCTAGCTTTCAGGTTAGCCAGTTGATGGGGGAGTTGGAAGAGGATGGAGAATTGGATCTTTGGTGGTGTCATGAGGGGGCAAGTGCCTGGACGCATCGGATTGAGAGAGTGGGCATGGGGAAGGGAAGTGAGGGTTGGTATTTTGGGGTTAGTGGGATGCGTAAAATTTGGTTTTGATGGAGGGAAGTAGGGGAATGGAAGGGTGAGTTTGCGGGTATGGAAATGGGTACGGGATATGATATATGTATGTTTATTCGGAATGAAAGTGAGCAAAATGGATAGAAAACTACTCTTCCATAGGATTCTCCCCTTAAATGTGATGAAGAGAAAGGTTTCGGTAGATAAATGTTATCTGAGACCTTTCGATAATTAACAGAAATACCACTTCCTACTCAATAAATAAGCTTGTGTAGAACTCGGCTCCAGTTCTCCATTTAAGGGGAGCCGCTGTGAGAGACAAGAATTACTGGCATGTACTGTACTGTACAGTATACACTTTCCCTGAACGGTACGTTACTGTAGTGCTAGTCCTATATATCTAAATTCTCTAAAATTACCGGAAGAGTCCCTGTGTACGTTCTACCTTACTTTACAGAATCCAGATTACAATTTCACACCAAAAATCACATTTCCACTTAAGAGAGAAGATGAATAAAATATGGATAGCCCTATCGCAATTTCCTAATGTACATCCCATCTATCTATCTAGCCAGCCGCCGCCTTCCAACAAAGTTTGTGTCCTACGCACCACAAACCCCATCTCATGGCCAGAAAGCAAGCATCAATTGATCTACCCCGGAAAACAAACTGTGAGCCCATATCTCCACCCATGTACCAAAGTAAAAGCAAAAAAGGACAAAGGAAATAAAGAAACAGCAAGCAGTGAGGTGAAGGCTTGCAGGGAAAGATCTACCAAAATAGGCGAATCACCCTACAAGCTACGAGAAAGCTTCCTACTATCTCGATTACCAGTACTTGTATTGCAATGCCATGCCCTAGAGGGCCACTGGAATCGCAAAATCTCTGAGCCAAGACAGCAATACAAGAAAATGAAAACAAGAAAATGAAAAATGAAATAAGGAAACAGGTCATCGGATACGTAAAGTCTGTACCCATTTGTTCAACCACGAAAATAAACGCCATCCGACCTTGATGCGTCACGTGCAATGCACGCTCAATCAGTACCAAGCACTGAATGCAATAAAATTGACCATGCCATGCAATTATGTACTTTGTCAAGAATCCGTAAGCAACCGTAAACTCCGCCAATAAACTCCAGAAGATGAAGAAGCCGAGATGTCGACGTGAGAAAATTCTTGACTCTATGGTTGTTCCATCTCAACATCCTCGGCGGCATTCTTAGGGGATTGACAAGGAAGAATACCCTCTTCAGTCCATCTCTTAAAGTCCATGGTGATTTTCGATACTTGATCGTGGTTCAAGTCCTTCATCCATTTGTTATTCATCTCGAACTTCTCCTTGAATCGTTGGGTTCGGTTGGTTTCGGCCTGTGAAAGTCGCTCACGGGCCGCGCTAACCTTGGTAACAGGATCTGTGGCGAGAGGCTTGTCGGTATAAATCATATACTCAGAGCCGGGGTATCTGTAGAGCATCTTGTAGGTGTTGACACAAATTCGCAGTGAGAGATCTTCCATGTATGCAACAGGCTTTGGGAGCACACCCATCATTTCCACTTCGAAGCTTGGTCGCACGTGGCGTGGTAGGGCGGTCATGGATGTATCGCTACGCTTGACACCTTCGGTGGGCTCATATCGCGCAAAGGATGAAGCGTAATATTGCCAACGTTCAACGCGTTCCATCTCGTCCATATCAAATGTTGTTTCTTCTCTGGTGACCCATTTGCAGGTGGCTTCCTTCTTCTTCGGATTCTATTGCAATGTTAGTAATATGTCCAGATGATAAATTAAGATTGATAATGTCATACCCAGTTGACAAGGAAGAGTTCGCCATCCTTGATGTACTTCTCGGCCTGCTTGCGCATATTGATTTCCAAGTTGTAGGTGGTTTCCTTGTTCTCTCGGTTGCGATAAAATTGCTCAATGAGCTCAGGGGTCTTCTCTTTGGCATCGACACCCGAACAAACGGAGCCAAGTCTGCACAGAGTCTTCAAAAGATCACCAATAGTGTAAAGTGTCCAACCCTTGCTCAAATAATGACGACGGAGCCAATCTTGATACTTGGCATCCTCGACAGTTCCACCAGTAGCAGCTCCTGAGATGCAGGCCTCGACAAGTGTAAGAGCTCTGGAGTAGTAAGTCTCACCAGGAGCCAAGCGTTCCTCTTCTCGTTTTGGAATGAGAGCAATACCATGAGCTGGCTTGTTCTGCAGAGCACGCGCCCCTTCCTTTTGAGCCTCCTCCTCGCTTTCCTTAACATCCTTGAATCTTCGGTAGAGGGTTTGGAATATACTGAAGAGGGCATAGATTGTCTGGTTGCCGTAGAGTCTGTAATCATCACGTTGGTATGGTCGGTCAGGCTTGGCACCAAAGTCGTTCTCAGAAAGTGGTCTGGATCCTACAACCGCAGTTGGAAGAGGGAGATTTGAGAACAAGATATCATCTGAAACTTCCTCGGCGACTTGCTCTTCGGTAATCTCCTGTCCCTCCTCCTCTCCAAGCGACTCGACGTCAGGGGTTGACTCTTTGCTGCCTGTGGCGCTACCTTCCTTTTGCGCACGACCTTTTGCTCCATTGCGTCCCTTGTCAAGAACACCTCGTCGCAAGTCATTCTTCTTTCCATTGACTTGTCGTCGACCACGGCCGCCATTTGGTAATTCGGCGGGTGCTGCATCATCATCTTCGTCATCAGGGATTCCACGTTCAATCTGAGCTGCGATGGCGGCAATTTCCTCGGCAGGGAGACTGAAGAAGGTTGTGAAAAACTTGTCAAAGAATTCAAAGATGCGGCGTCGTTCTTGATGGCCGTGGTTAACTGAGTTGGCGGCATATATCATGACGAAGCGGAGAACATCAATAATGACTGCTTGATCATCGAACTCGTATGCGAATTGATATCTCAAGGTTCTGCCTCGAATGGCTCTTTGGCGTCGTTGTTCTTCGTGCTTTGTCTTGATTGCATCTACGAGGTGCTTGATCGAGAAATTGCGCTTGTCGGCCTGCTTGGCTTGAATACCCATGTGGTCAAGACTCTTGAGGTACATGGCTTCAGTCTGAGCATGCCAAACCTTCTCCCACTCACGCTACAATATATTAGCAAAAGAACAGACATGCACGGCATAAGGCGCTTACCTGTGTAAATCGCCACTCCTCGTCCTTTTGCTTGAGTCGGCTCAAAACAATTGGAAGTACTGCAGAAGGATCCTTGAACAGATCTGCAGCAACCTCTGGACCACGGTCGCCATAGATTTTTTTAAGCACACGCTTGTAGATTGCCTGGCTCTGACCACCGAGACCAATTGGCATACGGAAAGTCATTCTGTCTTCAGAGCTCATCGCAAGTAGTTGCTGTCCAATTGGTTCCAAAAGTTGGATAACCTTGGCGTTCGCCTCAATGTTGAAGTCGTAATCGTGGCGCTCCTCTTCAATTCGATGGAGAGCTTCTTCATACATGTTCTTGCGATGAGCGACAAAACCAGAATCCTCTGATGCCCAGGTTGGGTGAGATGCCCAGTCGTCGTTGAGTACCTCGTTGCACATCTCATCTCTTCCACTGCATGGCTTTAGGCGCTCCTGATAACTGTTAGCCCGATTCTTCATGTCCTCAAGAATCTTTTTGTCCTCAAAGATCTTCTCGAGTTCTTTGGGTTTCCTCTTCGCCACTCGGGTATGAGAAGTGGACGGAGCAGCCTCGACTTCAGCATATTTGCGCTTGATACATTTGCCATGGGGAATGTATGCGTAGTTTCCGTCGATGCCAGGCTCAAAAACCTCGCTCTCTCGTAGATTTGATGTAGGAAATTGGAATGACGAGCACTGGCACGCATGTCGAAAATCTTCCTTTAATGCATCACCTCCTTCGGGCAAAGCCGCAACAGCTTCAGGTGGATTTTGCGCACTCATGGTTGCAGGATGTGTGGAGAAATTTGTCATGGGAAATTATTGAAATTTTCAAGTCGAGGTTGAAGGTGAGGGTTGCTGGTGGATGAGGGGGCTGGGAATAAAGCGGCGTAGGGATTTTTGGCGAGAAATCTTGCTCATGAATAGCTTCACCTTGAGATGAATTCACAAAGACAAGATTTCACCCAGCCACCAATTGCAAACTTGCACGTGACAGATGGAATTAAAATGAAAAGTGAAATGAGGTGAACTTACTCGTTTTGGCAGCAATCGATAGCTTGGACCCAGGCCTCTGCAGTTGCTCAATGAGACTCGTCCTGTAGGTGGTTCTGGTCGATTGTCAATGATCTCATCGTTACCCTCCCAACCAACAAAATTTCTAAACCAGCCCATCAAATCTGGGTTACCACCGATGAACATGCTGACTTTGTGTACGAGAACATTGCGGTCGATGAGATCTTGCGAGAATAGGTTACAAAGCTTGAGAAACTCGTTCATCGTCGACTTGTTGCCAATGAATTTCTTGACGCGATCAAAGAAGGCCAGTTCCTCGGTGGAAGCAGCCGACGTGGTTGTCGGTGGGAGCGGTTCAGGTAGGATAGGAGTCAATGTGGGCGATACAGCAGGAGCATCTGGCGCGCTTTGCTTGTTATGACTTAATTTGGCTCTCTGAGAGAATGAACATATTAGTAGACGTCCAGAGATCAGAGTAGATTGATTGAAGTCGCATTGGAGCGAGAATGGGATGATACATACCTTATTCGTTGATCCGCCTGGACCTGCGCTTCGAGAAGACTCCCCCATCATGTTGCCTTGAGCAGCAGATGGCGCAGTGGCATTGATTCGAGATCTCTTCTTGTTGTCCTTGCTTGTACTGGCAGGAACTGCAAAGTTGCCAACTGGAGGCATCTTTGCTTCTCCTCTTGCGTACGAGGTTTGAGGTGTTTGGTTTGCCGTCATTGCTACTGCGGCTTCTTGCTCTGCGGCGAGCTTCGCGGCGGCGGCGGCCTTTGCCTGCGCAGCAGACTCTGGTAAGAATTGCTTGAAATCCTCGAGAAGATCGGGGGCAGTGTTGAATAGGTGCGTAACTTGCGCGTAGACGTCCTGGATGGGTTTGGATTCCCGCTGATATGTTTGAAGAATCTCAAGGAATTGCTTGTAAATCTCAGGTCTGTCTTGAAAGCGGTTCTGTGACAGGGATTAGTAGAGGTCTAGTGATAGGTAGCGCGAAGAGAACGTTGTGAGGTGAATATGGTTCCGTCTTCTATCCGACAGCTGCAGGCAGCTGACCAATCGCAGAGAGATCGCTAATGAAGGGAGGAGGTTTGGACACTTCAACTTTACCTTTATCTTATTCACATAACTGATCGCGTGGTTGAACTCAACAGGACCTCGCTTTTCAAGACCTTGCTGTCCACCGCCATTCATTCCAGCTTGACCACCAGGCGTTGGAGTTTGAGTGTTTCTTGGAGGATGACCTAGAGTTGCCACAGCATTGGTAAGTTGCGATACACCTCTTTGTTGTTGTTGATGCGCGGCAGCGGCAGCTTGCTGCGCTTCGTAGCTGGAGTGCTGAGTTGGATTCTGATTGTACGCAGGAGCAATACTTTGATTTTGAGGACTGAAAACAGCTTCCGGACTTTCAATGCTGTGTTGAGGTTGCTGTTGCCAATTGCCATGACGCTGTTGCGCGCTATAGTAGCCGCCGGTAGGATTAGCTTGGCCCATGACTGCATCTGGCAAAGCAGCGCGACCGTTTCCTGTAATGGACTGGACCGTGGTACCCATAGGAGTAGTAACTCTGATGGTGTTGGGATCGTTGCCAGCTCCACATTCAATGCGATATCCTGGTGGTAGGAATGTATTAAATCCCTGGATCAAATTTGGATGACCAGCGAAGAGATCCGAGACCCGGTTGATAACGCCAGGCGTGTCGATACTGGTAGTGCCAGTTAGTTTCTTTCCTTCATCATTTTTCTTGCTTAGTCAGTATAGTATGAGGGTTTCTTACGCTTGGCTTTTAAAGTCCTTCATAATATCAAGAAACCGGTTGTAGACATCTGGTTGGTCTGCAAATTGGACCTTGACTTGATCAAGATAACTCAACGCATCCTGGGATGGTATTAGTCGGAATTCTGTTTTTGTTTTGTGTTTGAGGGGGGGAAATGAGGGGTCAAGCGCGGAGAACGCGAATGGTCAAAGTTGGCCATGTCCATCACCGAGAAATTTCCACATGAAACCAAACAAAACAGCCAGAGAGACGGCACTGATGACTGGGACTACCAATCGCTAGTGTATCCCATGAGTTTTGATGGTTGAGTGAATATCTTTCCCCAGGTTTGACACCGCGCCGGGCGTTGGCAAGTTGCCACCACCCACGTAGCGAGAACAGTAGGTATAGTAATGTTTACTAAACCACAAAATGTATACACGACACATGAAAAAGACCTACATTCAAAATGGGTTGCTGCCCACCAACACCTCCTTGGCCAAGTACTTGAGGAGGACCTCCTGGTATTTGGTGTCCTTGTGGAATTGGTGCCCCAAATGGAAGTTGTTGTAACCGTGAAACCGCCTCCTGTTGTTGCTGCGCCGCCTGCTGCTGTTGTTGCTGCTGTTGTTGCTGCTGTTGAAGAGGTGGACCAAATCCTGCTCCTCCAGGGGCGCCGATTGGGACATTCGGAGGCGCAGAATTATGGTGTATGAGGGTTGGGCCGAACGATTGTTGCTGCTGAATCTGGGTCGGTGGATTTTGAGGGTTGTGTTGAATTGGACGGCTGGCTTCGTTATGAAGAGGGCCGCCAAAAGCATTTCCTGGTCCACTGGGTGCACCAAGAGGACCTGGAGGAGGGGCACCGCCATGATTTGCAAGCAGACCACCAGGAGAATGTATGGCTCCTGGCAGACGCGAAGCAACCGGCTGATGAAGAGGAATCGAGGCAGTATCGTTCTGATGGGTAGGCGCAGGTTGGTAATGTTCTCTGTGCTGACGTTCTCTTTCCTGACGTTCATTTTGTTCTCGTTCCCGTTGTACAAGCTCTTGTTGCGCCGCGAGGGCATGTACTCTACGCTGATCGTCCATTTCCCGTTCGCGATCGCGATCGAAGACCGGAGGGCCGTGGGGAGGATTATTCATAGTGTTCTAATGGTGGAAGGGTACGAAACCTGCCAGAACGAGTGAGGGTTTGTTGGAGGATATGTATGGGAAAATGGAGTAGGGTTCCGACGATTGCTGGAGCTCGAGGGAAAGCTTTGATGCTAGAATGACGCCGTTCGAGTTGGCGCCGGCTCAGCTGCCCTCGAGTTTAGGGGACCAAGGATCTGGGCAAGCGCTCAAGGCCTTTCAAGAGGCGCACATGGCACTGCTGAGAAGTAATATGGTTGTCGTTCAGAAAAGGTTCTTTTGCAGCCGTGAATAGACAAGTGATGAAGTGATGTAGGGTTGTGTCCAATAACTCGCGAAACTCCTTCTCTGCCACAAGGCTACCATGCTGGCTTAGGACACCGCCTTGGAAACCGCAATTTAACCGCAAGTTCACTAGACCCCTTTATTAGTCATCATCCCAATCATGAGGCAGTCTTGAATTCACCAATTTTTCAATTTTCTTCCTCAGAAAATGACAAGTTCAGTGGTCTAGCCAAACCTATCAAATCCTATTCTGAGCTTAATAAGCACGTCAGAAGTACTTCACTATTTCTGAGATGGAAAAAGATTCCGCTTTGGCTGGGATATTTCCTCGTGTGAGTAGCCGCTGATGTCAGTTGCTAATAGTGTCCTCTGAGAGAAGTTCTGAAGTTCTGAAATGATGGAAGTTGATTGCTGATGTGATTGTATTTACAGAGACAGTGACGTTCAGCCTTGAGCTATCTTTTATGTACAATCAGATGGAGCACGGACTCAACAATAGAGGTGGAAGGCCATTCATGCACAGATGACTGACAATACTATGATTGTTGCTTCTTACTGGCCGTGAATCACAGATCGGCAAGCCATATAACTTGTATACCTAGTCTGTGTGGCACACACTGTCAGATGAAGGATAGTGAAGAGGTACTCGTTGTAGGAATTTTTTGAATCTTGAAACGCACACTGAGCTTAGTATTGTCATACAATATCAAAAACCATTGTCTTATATCATTTGCCTATTGAGTTCACTATACCAGAATTCACAGCTCCTCTTATTAGTAATTTGTGACTAAATACTTTTTGCTATGGTTCAAGTGCGATAGTTGGTTCGTCGTTTCTCTGCCCTGTCTTGTCTTGAGGTTACAAATGAAACTTAATAGTCCTTGAAATAAGGACATCCATATAGGAACAATGTCCTGAACGCCAAATCTGATTCACAAGTTATTTGGAGCTGTATAGAGAAAACAAGGTCCGTATATGCTACTTTCAGCTACAAATATTGAAAATTCATCGTCATGTCGTTCGTAAAGTATAGGCTCAGTAGCACTACTAGGGTTATCGTCTTTATTAAGGTAATCCAGGAACATAAAATATTTACACTTACTAACGAGATCTAGGAAAGTAAAAAAGCAGAGAAAATTGATTTACTGTATTAAGAGAAATGAAATACTGAATTCTTTCTATAACTTAAAGCTGTTATCGGTATTATATTATTTACTAGCAACTTAGTAAGGATTGTATGTTTAGATTTAAAGTCTATACTAAAAGATCTAACTCCTTTAAAGCTAATAAACTTATAGCTCTGCAAAATAAACTTTCATTCCTTTAGATACGTACTACTATTTTTATCCTTTACCCAGAATTATAACCCTGAGTTACCGAGCACTAAAAGAAAAATCTCTCCCTATCCTATAATTAATTACCTTCTTATGCCCAACTATCTTGAAATGTTCTAGAAAGAGGGAACAAAAATAGAAAGAGCAAAGAAAAGGCTTTTCGTACTTGACCCCAAGAGAATAAAACCCACAGCTAAAGGGTCGGTCTTCAAATGGATAAATCATACTCATAATAGGTGAATATCCAAATTCTCTTCGCCGGTCGCAGCTTCACTGCCACCAAACAAATCCACCGCCACATTTCCCATTCTCCTTACCTCCTACAAAGCACCTCCATCTGCTTCTTCGAAACAACAAACCGCTCTTCATAAGCCTCCCTCACAATCCTCCTAGTCATCCACTCAAACGTCCTCGGATGCGAAACAACAAAAAGAACCGCATTACAAACCCGCGCCGCGTCCTTATTCTCATCCGCAAACTCGCCCAGCACAATCAGATACAGCAAGCGAAAGGCTGCTTCCCTTGCCTTTGCCTTTGCATCGGTATTTTTCCTGTCCTAGTGGCAAAGCCATCCGCCCCTGTTAGGGTTCAGGTCCCTGAAGATTTCATTGATGTTTTGGCCTTGGAGAATGTCCATGCAAAATAGGTCGTAGGTTTCGCAAAGGCTCTGGAAGGAGGAGAGAGTGAAGTGGAGACGTTGGAAGCATTTTCTGTAGCCGGAGGTTATGCCTTTGAGGACTACGTCGAGGTGGGGGATTGGACTGTGGGTTAACTCTTCGGAGTCGGGATGGGCGGAGCGTTCGAATCGTACGAAGCTTGAGAGATATGGGATTTTGGAGACGTCTAAGGTGTGTGTTTCGTCTCCGAATTTGATGGTCTCTATCTGAGGGATCTAGCGGGAAGCCGAGGGTGTTATTGAAAGGAGAGACGCAATCTTTGGATGTTTGTTTTTAGAGCCTCGCTTACCTCGGACAACATCTTATAGTTGGTGGATTGAGAAGGGTTGTTATATATCACGACTGTTTTTTTTTTGAATGGAAAATGATTCCAGCTCTGTGATAAGAGAGGTAAAACTTTTAGGAACGAGGGTCGGAGGGGCTTTCCCAGATTCAATTTACAAACGCGTTGCAACTTGTTTGCTAGCCGAGGAGCCACTAGCGAAGAGAATGGTCACATATGCATATACCCGAAGGCAGTTTCATCTAAAGAGCCACACTGAGATGTCCCTACCATAATAAGCAGATTGGCTAACATGATCCAAATCCTGTAAATAAAAAGTTTTGTATCTTTCCCTCTTAGCCATTCCTCACATTCATATATATTGCTGACTGAGGCCGCCACACGATATCAAGTCTTGGCGAGAACCACGATAGTGAAACCATTCGTCATAACCCATCCACAACCATCCCAATCAAGTTCGCCGGCGACACCAAAACCACACCATCCGCAGCCATGAAATACCTCCCCATCCTCTCCCTCCTCCTAACCACAATAACCGCTCTCAAACTCCAACCTCCAAATCAACAACACCAACAACACCCAATGTCGAATCCCCCAAATCTCGGTCCCGCCATACCTCCACCCCCCTCCAACGACCCCTCCGACACCAACCCCCCTCCCTCAGATTCCGCTCCCATAATCCTCTCCGACATCCTCGGAAGCTCCCGAAAAATCAACATTTTCGCAGGTTTCACACGGGATTTCGCGCCGATATCCCAGCGCTTCGAAGACCGCTCCCTCAACACCACGATCCTCGCGCCGTTGAACTCGGCCATCATGGCGTTACCTAGAAAACCCTGGGAGGATCCGGCGGAGTACGAGAAGCTCGGGGAGCAGGCTTATGAGGGCGGTGATGGACAGGGTCGGGCGCAGGAGAATCTGAGGAGGTTTGTGGAGAGCCATGTTGTGCCTGATGCGTGGGAGAAGGGGTTGAAGTATAAGACGCTTGCTGGGGATGAGGTTTGGTGGGAGAGGAAGGGGGGTCAGAGGATTGTGAGTTTCTTTCACGTTTTTTCATTTGGGTTGGGGGTGGGAAGGGAAGATGGATTGTGGGTTTATGGGTGGTGGATGCGTGTGCTAACTACTTTGTAGATTCAACCGGGGAATATTGAAGTTGATTCTGTCTCGGAATCAACTGCTAATGGCGAGGTTTGGGTTCTGAAGGGAGTGAGGAATTATAAATGAATAGTGGGATGTTGGAGTTGAGCGCTGCATTTTTTATGAGGGTTCAATTTTTGTGTTATATACAGCAAGCGTTATGGATAATAATTTGGATTAGCAATAGGGACTGGTACTATGAACGCAGTTTACCCTGTATGGGCTTTGAGACATGCATACGGACGGGAAGCGAAATACAGTAATGATAATGATAGCTCTTATGGAATATTATGGCAGACAATCTTACAATTCCTACGACTTTTTCCCCCATACCACTTCCTGAGAGGCAATATTTACATCCTTTTCAGAAAGTTTTCTTGGTACCTTACACCGACATGTAGTGGTCGAAAATACTAGTAGATCTAGTTCACCGTCTAGAACTTTGTCGAAGGATCTTTGCCACTGGTGCACTGCGGATGATTTGTTCCTGACACCCTGAGCCTCGATTTGATTTTCCCCCAGACCATTTCAAGGGTCTGACAAGCACCTGCAGCATAGCCGGACTTCAAGTTTAGTATCAAACTCTATTTGAATGCATAGAAGTTAAGGTGTAAATAGTGGGCTTTTGCCACTTGTTAGCCAGTGAGCCAGTTACTCCAAAACCCATCTCACTGTTCTCTTAACCGAAAAGGCGATGGTCTCCCCATTTTGAGAATCATGACCAAGTTTTTTCTAAATATGCAGTACCGGATTTTGATAGCCTCAAGTAATCAGTTATTGAGCTTCAGTAAGATTTCCAGGGTCGATAGATGATTATCTTTCACATGTAAAAGGGTACAAGTGTACCTTCTATATTGGAAGTCTTATTCGGAGACCGTCATCTGATGCAAGCGTGTTATGCAACACGAGTCGTTCCGTATGCCCCGAAAGCTGGAGAAGGTGGGGGCGGAAATTACGAGCTTACTTCTCGGTAGGGAAAGGGGATCTTTCACATGCAAGCGAGCTGCCCACTTTTTGTACTGTACACTCAGACACTGTACAGCAAAGGACCCCATGAGAGCTGACGTGACTTTTGCTCGTGATTGAATATGACAGACACGAGACGATCCCCCGGGTTCGAATGGTACCGTAGTGGTATTGAGAGGCAGATGTATGTGACATTGTAGATACTTTACTTACCGCTATCATTGAATTTTTCTGTCGAGGAGCACGCAGACCATGCTATGTAGACCTCAAAGTGACCGCCGTTCCCTTCTCCGCAAAAGTAGAGATACAAGGTTTTTTTACACTGCAGACTCCGCTCCCCCTCAAAGACTGTCTCGACCGTCCCCGGACTCCACAGTCTGGAGCCAGCGAATCAAGTGACTCTGCTGACTACACGACTTCTCACATTCGTCGAATCAAAGCCAAGTCTGGTCGCTTTCGGGACCTCGGCATTTCCTCCCCCAGACTTCCCCAAGAGCCTAACCTCTAGTGAGTGGCGCCCGTGGCTCAACACAAAACCACGACATTCCTCTACTCTGACATATTTCCTGCTTTCGACTCTACAAAACTTCAAATTATTGCCCTTGCCCTCAGTTTGCTCGTATCTCATACACTCAGTCAATATGACACCCAGAGTTATTGTTGTTGGAGGCGGATGTAAGCTTTTGTGCCCATGGGCAATGTCCCCAACAATGCAGTGTAGCTGATCATCAATAGTGTCCGGTTTGAGTGCTGCGCACACAATCTACCTCGCAGGTGGCAATGTTATAGTCCTCGACAAGCAAGGTATGTTCCAAAAGTCGCAATCGAAACGTTGAGTGTAAACAGCTAACATGACGGTGTAGGTTTCTTCGGAGGAAACTCCACAAAGGCCACATCTGGAATTAACGGTGCCCTTACCCGAACACAAGTTGAAGGAGAAGTTCGGGATAGCGTTAAGCAATTCTACGATGATACGTTGAAATCTGCCAGAGACAAGGCCAGACCAGATTTGATCAAGGTCTTGACATACAAGTCTGCTGCAGCTGTTGAATGGCTTCAGGATGTTTTCAACCTGGATCTTACTCTTGTTTCCCGATTAGGGTATGTTTGGACTTTTGCACATGAAATTGAGACTTTCATTTACTAATATTTGCGTTCAGTGGTCACTCACAGCCAAGAACCCACCGAGGCCACGATGCCAAGTTTCCCGGTATGGCCATCACATATGCTCTTATGCAACGATTAGAAGAACTTGCCGAGAATGAGCCAGAGCGTGTGCAGATTATCAAAAAGGCCAGAGTTACTGGTATCAACAAGGATGGAAACAAAATTACTGGTGTCACATACGAATTCGGAGGAGAGTCCACATCTGTTGACGGTCCAGTAGTCCTCGCCACTGGTGGATATGCTGCAGATTTCACAGAGACATCCCTCCTCAAGAAGCACAGACCAGATACATTCAACCTCTCATCCACCAACGGTACACATGCTACAGGTGATGGACAGAAGATGGTTATGGCAATTGGTGGTAACGGAATTGATATGGACAAAGTTCAAGTCCACCCAACGGGTCTTGTTGACCCCAAGGATCCCGGATCTAAGTGGAAGTTTTTGGCCGCTGAGGCTCTACGTGGTGAGGGAGGTCTTCTCTTGAACGGAGCTGGTGACCGATTCTGTGACGAGCTTGGTCACCGAGATTACGTTTCTGGTGAGATGTGGAAGGAGAAGGACAAGGGATTGTTCCCAGTCAGACTTATCCTCAACTCAAAAGCATCAAATGTCCTTGATTTCCACACCAGACATTATTCTGGCCGTGGCCTGATGAAGAAGATGACCGGACAGCAGCTTGCAAAGGAGATTGGCTGCACACCAGACCATCTCCAAAGCACATTCAAAGCATACAACGAGATTGCAGATGGAAAGAAGAAGGACCCATTCGGAAAGAAGTTCTTCCACAACTGCCCAGTTGATATCAATGATGATTTCCACGTTGCTGTTATGGAGCCAGTTCTTCATTTCACTATGGGTGGTATTGAAATCAACGACCAAGCACAAATTCTCAACTCAGAAGGAAAGCCATTCGAGGGTCTCTATGCATGCGGAGAACTTGCTGGAGGTGTTCATGGTGCTAACCGTCTTGGTGGTTCATCACTTCTCGGATGTGTGGTTTACGGTCGTGTTGCTGGTGATACTGCAAGCAACTATCTCTTCCAAACCGCCCTCAAGGGGTCTGTCGGTGCCGCAGCTTCAAGATTGGGTCAAATCTCTCTCCACATCGACCCATCTCAGCCAGGCAAGGTTTCCGTTGAATGGGGTAGCCAAGGTTCAATAGGAACCGGTTCAAAGCAAGAGCAGCAATCCCAGACCTCAGCAGGACCCGTCATGGACGGCAGCAACACTGATCCGGGAAAGGTGGAGAAGCCAGGCAAACCAGCCAAGTTCAGTGTTCCTGATAAGGAGTACACCATGGAGGAAGTTGCCAAGCACAACACCAAAGATGACCTCTGGGTTGTGGTCAAGGGTGTTGTAATGAAGCTTGATGATTGGTTGGAGGAGCACCCAGGCGGACCACAAGCCATCATGAATTTTATGGGACGTGATGCGACCGAGGAGTTTGAGATGTTACATGATGATGAGGTTATTCCTAAGTATGCTCCTGCTCAGGTCATCGGGCGGGTCAAGGGACAGAAGGTCACTTTGGAGATCTAGATAGACTGTAAAAAGGAGATTTGAGGTGTCGGGGAGGATGAAGAGATGATATATGTATTGATATTGGGACGGGCGGGTATGCATAAAGCTTCTAAGTTCTCTTTTCTTTCCTCTTTTTCGTGTCGTGGGTTAGGGGTGTGGGTAGTTTAGTTGGATCATTTGGATAGGTCTCACTCCGTCTTGACTCTTGAGACGTAGGGAAATAAAATTTTAAGGCTGAGTACTAGTTCCGTCTCGCTTACAACTTCTTTTCTTTTCTTTTGTACTTTACTACTCTCCAGTGAGAGTCTGAGATTACTCTACTCTATACACACCAGAGTTAACCATATTTTCCCCAAGACCTCACACAACGAAAACGATTGTACGAATATTTTGGAATCAGTGTTACTGCTCATTTCTTATTGACCTAGGTTAAATGGGAGAATCGAGTAACTTGTGTCAGGTTTTTGATATAATGGCTTTTGATAAAGTGGGGGGTTATGGAGTGATGACTGGGTTTTCTTACGAAGTGGAGGTGGTAGGTGTAGGTATGATTTTTGGGGTATGTGATGAAGTTGCTAGGTGAGTTGGTGAAGATAAGATGGGATGGGATCGGAGTGGTAGTTTGATATGAGGTTTTTTTGTATTATATCGAGCTAGGTTTCGTGATATGTAAGGAAATCTTTAAATTCGGGTATTATTTATATCCTGACATTTTGGGGATTTTGTTATATATCGCAAAAGGAGAATCAGTATTATTAATTCTTTGACCTCAGAGGCCTAAGTACATGGGTAGTCCAGATTTGTGATAGCTTTGAGCTATGCTGAATATTTGCGATGTGTAATAAACCTTGATAATAATAATATTATATCTTTTTTATTTACTTATTCGTTTATGTTACTTATTGAAAAATATACTAGTAAGATTTATATAAGGATATCTAGAAGATAAGCTTATAGATATCGATGATTTATATCGATTCAGTAGTATAGAATAAGAGATTTAAATTTTAATAGGTATTATAATTATAGAATAATAAAGCGGCTAGGTTAGGATAAGCGAGACGAACTCGTAATTCGTTAATTCTATTACTACTATAAGTAGCGAACTAGTACGTAAATAAAATGAACTCTAAATACTAACGCTTAAGGACTTACTTTAAGTCTTTTACTATCTATACTATCTAACATTAACGTAGTAGCGTTATAATATTAATATTACTTAGTTGGCTATATAATATATCTACTTCCTTTATATATATATATAATACTATACTAGACTATAGTATTATAAGATCGTATAGTCTATATAGTAGAAAGTTCTATTTCGAACCCTTTTATTATAACGTTTAACTATTTTATTTCTATTTCTACTCGTTTTTACTTTCGACTTTCTTTTTATAGTAATTAACTAAGATACTCTTATATATATTATAAATACCTAAGATACCCCTAAAATAATTCGCTTATAACTAAGATACCCCTAAGATTATACCCTTTAAGTTTAGGGGTATCTCGGTTAATAAGGGTATATTAGTTAATTTAAGTTAGGTGTAACGAATACTCAAACTGGCTAACTAAACTTGGCTGGGTGTTCGCTGGTTGGTATGCTATGATAAGAAGAAGACTATCGGGTTGTTCACTTGGAAGTGAACTCGTTACTTGTATCAAAGATGTCAAACTGATATGATAAACCTTCGTTCTCGTGGAGCCTACGGGGAGCCCAAGATCCTCAAGCTCCAACGCAAGCTCCTGCAAGCTCCAACGATCATGTGACCCTGTCACGTGATACTAACCGAATGAAATCCCTGGATCGCTTAGCTAGCCCAAGCGTCCCTATTTGCTATAAGAGTACTGATAGTGCTTGACCTTTCAGGACGCCGCCTGGTCTTCTCTTATCACGTGAACACGTGATTCGTGACACCCGAGTAGTAGCCCTAACTCTAACTATACGAAGGTAGTACTTATATATACTAGTAGTATAAGGTAAAACTCTTAGGTAAATTAATACTTTAAGGAAGTTAAAATAGAATACTATATAATTTACCTTAATTACTTATAAGTTAGTACTTTTACGAAATTTACTATTAGATTAACCGAAATACCCCTATTTTACGACGGAAATGCCCCTGAATTTAAGGGGTACGATTTAAAGGGTATCTTAGTTATAGGCGAATTATTTTAGAAGTATCTTAGGTATTTATAATATATATAGGGGTATCTTAGTTAATTACCGTTCTTTTATTTCTATTTTCTTAGTTATAATAAATATTCTATCTTATAATTAATAGTTTAAAGTTAGTTCTTTCTACTAATAATATTTAAAATACTCTATCTCTTTTATTTATAAAAAGAAATATTATATATAACTTCCTTTAAACCTACTGTAACGAATACTCAAACTGGCTAACTAAACTTGGCTGGGTGTTCGCTGGTTGGTATGCTATGATAAGAAGAAGACTATCGGGTTGTTCACTTGGAAGTGAACTCGTTACTTGTATCAAAGATGTCAAACTAATATGATAAGATTGATAACTAAGTTGAGCACGAAGCTCCTATCTAATGGCAGACATGCCAGTCTTATATAGAACCTTCGTTCTCTGTGGTCGCCATGGTCGACTCGTCGGCCATGTCGCTCGTTTCCATCACGTGATAACTAACCAAGAGAAATCCCTGGATCGCTTAGCTAGTCTAAGCGTCCCTATTCGCTATAAGAGTCCATGATAATGTTTAACCTGTCAGGACGCCGCCTGGTCTTCACTCGTCACCTGCTAGCACGTGATTCGTGACACCTACCTACCTTTCTATAAGTATTTAAATTAACCCGTATTATTTTATTCATAGTCTATTATCCCTTCTATATAATAAAGGGGCTATAAAAACGTATACCAAAAATAGAGATAAGTAAATAGAATAGCTAGGTCAAATTAAGGCTTAAATACTTAGAAACGCGGCTTCGTTAACTAAACGACTTAGTTTTTAGAGAAAATATTATTAAAGTAGATACTTTTACTCTACTTAGAAGTATACGTTTTTTCGGCCCCTTTATTATATAGAAGAGATATTATTATAACTATTCTATACTCTCACCGCCGCGGTTATAAAAGCCGATTAGTATTCTTAACGTTATAGAATATAATAGTATAGTTATCGACTACTACTTTACTACTCTAGGGTTTCGGCTAGTACTATTTCTACTAAGGCTTAGGCACGAGTCTTAAGAGGCGGCTAGGAATAGGAGGTTAAGCTCAAGTTACTAGGAGCGAGGAATAGGTAGTATTTCTAGTTTTTATATTAGTAGTATTATTATTTACGAAGTAGAAGAGGTGTGACGGTTATGGTCACGAGGGCTGGATGTCACATGCTCGCTTAGCGAGGCGCTAGCGCGCACGACCTGTATTTAGTTCCCAGCTCTCTCGAGCTCTCCTTCTTTCCTCGTCTTTTGTCCTAAGAATAGAGTGTTAATTGTTCTGAGTTCTACCTGAAGCACGTCTGTCACAAGAGGGGGGTTTTTAAGTAAAGCTTGGCAATCCTTGGGTAGCGAGAAGACGAAGAATTAACTATGTTCACGCGAAAAGAAATTTACTAAGTATAAGTTATGTGAAAGACTTGGTTGGGCGGGAGTTTCTTTGGTGTGGTTCTTGATTACTCTAGATCTTTCGAATTATTGATCTGATTGTGTCGGGGACTTGGGTTAATCAGGGGTTGGGGTTTCTTATTGCCCCAATTCTTTCGAACAATTGAATGGATTATTGTTTCATAGAATTGGAACAATTCATGTCTTACTCTGATAGGTCGCTAATTCTCTATATTAGTCGTATAGCGAAGAAGCCAATGAGTCAAAACCGTCTGGATTGGTTTGAAACAACGACGTATAAGAACCATCTATCCCAACTCCCCATTCTTTCTCAATAGAACCTCTCTCTCTTTCAAGACTCGTGCCCAGCTTCTCGCTCCGCTGTAGGTATCCCTGATAACCTTCCCCCTATTCTCCTCCTTCAACAACCCATCGAATTCCCATCCCTCTTCCCCCACAAAACCCCCATCACCCTCAACACCCGGATCGGCAACTCTCTCCCGAAAACACCGCTCCCATTCTCTGCACCCGGGCCCTGTCCCGAAATCCTTCCACAAATTCACAAAAACCGCCCCGCCTACTCCCTCATAGAACTTAAAGTCGATTTGGAACCGTGCCCAACACTCTCCACACTTCAACACTCCCGATCCACGACCATCCATATCCTTCGCATCCTCGCTCCACGCCGTAGACCAGAGATTTCGAGATCCATTGCACCGTTGATGGGAAGAAGTCGCGTCCTGCACCCACGCACCTTCCCTCCCCATCCTCACTTCCAGATGTCGACATACATGAGCATAAGATAGCACATTCCTCTCATCAGGAAAACGAAACCCAGTTCTCGACCGCTCAGGAATCAACACCGACGCAGAAGACATGATGAAATGCCCATCTGCATCCTGGGCCGAGAAATAAAATCTCTCCTTCACCTGCCGCAGAATACCAGAACGTGAAGACGGAGCGAGGTCGTAGCTCATGAGATCCAGGATCTGGCGACACCGAGCATCGTGCACGTATCGCTTCCGAGCCATCTTTATGAGTGTTGTCGAGAAGATGAGGCTTCCGAGCCATCTTGATGAGTGTTGTCGAGAAGATGAGGCCGGGGCGATAGCGTATGTGGGAACTGTGAAATTCGTTCAGGGTTTCATCCCAAATACATAATGGGGTCTCGAGCGGTGATCGTCCATGAGTAAGAAGGAAGTGCGCCGCATCTTTGAGGTTATGGAGTTTCTTGCAGACCTCACAGACGATGTGATTTGCTAGTTCTTTCTCGAGGAGATGTAAGAGGGAGATCTTCTCTGTGGGTGATTTGGATAGTTTTGGTATGTATGTGTTGCCGAGGAGACGTTTGAAATGCATGCAGGAGATTGAAAATGCGACGGCGGAGGATGTTGGGAGGTGAGAGAGGATCTCGTGAAGGATGTCTGAGGGGAAGATTGAGAGAGGGGAGGTGGAGAGGGCGAGTGGTCGGTAGCGGTTGTGGTACCATGCCCTGAGTGGGTAGAACATCTTTATTGTATGAAGAAAATTATATTTTCAATCAGGTCTAGATTTTTGTGATGGATGGTAGTTGAGTTGCGAATGAAAGTTTGGTGGTGGGTTAGAGATGGAGAGAGGATTGTATAAATATGAGGTAGGGGACGAGCTATTTCTTAGCACGCGAAATTTCTTCATCAACGTCAGAATTGGATTTCTGATCACTTATTAATATGTAGCGGCAAACCAGTAGATTGGAGTTACGCTAGACCAGAAAGTCCAGCCAACTATATTCTAGACTAACTCGAATCATTAGCTTGCTCGTTATAAGGCTAATTACTACTCAAGAAAGGTAATTATCTCCTCTTGTAGTATTAAATCTAGCTAAAACCTATATAAATTTAAAGGGGAGGCCTAGGTACCTAGGTAGGAACAGACCGTCATGTGGCTAGGGGGCCATGTCACTTCGATGCCGTATAGCAAATGGTATAATTAATAGGTATTTCAAAGAGGAAAGGGGTGTTTTTAACATACCTTACCTGGTAGTCGTTCTCCGTACGTATACTTTCTCGCGACCTTAATACCAAGGTACCCCTATAATACCTTTCCACTTCTCGAATATAATAATACTAATATAGGACCCAGAAGCCCCCCTATTCCCCGCTCCTAGTAACCCTAGCTCTACCTCCTACCCCCACTATCTCCCTCTCAAGACACGCACCAAAGCCCGGTAGAAATAGCGCTAGCCTAAACCCTAGAAGTGGTGCGAATAACTACGCTATTAAGTCTCACTATCTAATACGTTAGAAATACTAATATGATCTGGAAGTAGAATACCTAGGTAAGACACTTTTGCGAATCGCGATGGTGGAATTTAGGATGGGGTGTTAGTATGAAAATGTGATGGGTTGTGGATAGAAGGATATGGCTTAATATAAATAGGTGGGTAGGTTTAAGAGGGAGTAGTATTTTTTTCGTAGATAAAAGGGATAGATTATATTAAGTGTTATTAGTACTAGTAAGAACCGCACTGTTTAGTATAAGATAGAATATTAATTATAAATAAGGAAACAAAAAGGAACTCGGAAGTGGGGACTACCTAGTAGAGACAGGGATAGGATAGCTGAACGCTGTAATAGAAGGGTCCGAATTAGAGCTTTCCACTGTGTGGACTGTGCGATCTTACGGCACTGTAGTCTAGTATAGTGTCGTGTATATATTTCAAGGAAGTGGACATGTTGTGCAACCAACCGAGTAATATCGATGTTGCGACGCTGCCACGTTGATGTTGGATAGTGTGGATGGTATAAGGCTTGAAGTGAGTTCTTGAGCGTTAGTGGTTGGGTTTTATTTGATTTGCGTACTAGTCGCTGCTTAGTGATGGATTGTTAAGTTGCTGGCTGATCTTGGGGCTTTCTATTTGGGGATTTTTTATGTGTGTGTTGTGGTACAAATGTACCTTGGTAGCTGTGGGTTTTCACCGTAGGGAACTTGGAGACGACTTGCTGAGAACTCAAGGCGGAATGGTGATGAGCTCCAAGCCGTTCATCTCTCTCTGTAGCTCATAAGCGAATCTGTTTCAAATGGCAATCTCTTGACTGTCCTAGGAAGGTGATGGATATCTGTATGAAGTCGACTCGACACGAGGGAGAATGGAGATGCAGGTAGACGGTAAAGAAGAAATCCGAATCTGCTTTTTGGCTTGTCAGCATGCAAGAGCCCGCTTTGAGGGGAGAAGGCTCAGACTTACATATGACGCTAGGTCCAAAGGAGTCGACAAGGCTCTTGTCTCTGTACCACGTTGTCACGTTGAGGTTCGAGGAATTATCGTTAGGTTTGCCTCTGGATCAAGGACAAGGCCCAGAAGAAAGATGTGTGAATGGAGCGTCTATTTCGCACCTCGAGGACATAGCAAACTTTCTGGTTAATATAATGGCTACAAAGTACTGGTAGCCTTGAGAGTACCTGCAGACATCAGCCATCTTCTCCATGTCTCCATGTCTCGTACAGCACAGTCCATCGGAAAGTTACACAGCCCAGACCTGAACAAGCGCTTCCCGATTCTTGTTTTCCGCTCATTCGGCACTCTTCTACCCTTCCGGACTCCTGGGCGGGGATTGAAGGTCTTTGGAATCCTGGAGAAAAGCTGGAGTCTGGAGAAGCCTGAAGCCTGACAGTTGCCATCTGTAACTCTATTCATGAACAATTACCGCTTCGTGATCCAAGCGTGAGGTTCATCGAGCCATCGTGGAATGAGTAAACATAGAAGTAGGTATGGGATCCTTCTCCGTCTCTCGCTCTGCCACTGCGCCGTCGGGTTGCAGAGTGCAGATGAGCGATCCTTTTCGTGACCGGCTCACATGTTGATGATGCAGGTAATGGCGCGGATGAGTTGGGCCAGGAGAGAGGAGTGCCTGTGAAAGTGATAGATTGGCAGCCACCGTCGAGCAACCACGCGCTCATTCGTTGGCGATGCCGAGCTGGTGATGGTGTTTGATGTACCCAAGACGTCTGGGCATTCAAGGCGGGAAGGGCTAGCAGGCTAGCAGGCTAGTATGCTAGCGTGTGTGTACCAACAGTACCTCCTGCAGGTGATTCCCGGGTTTTCTACTGGCCATGCCGGTAGAGCTGTCAGTAGCGTAGCGTAGCTTACCAAGATGCCCTCTCAGATGCCCCAGAGGGCCAGAGAGAGCCAGAGAGAGCCCCAAGAGGATGGATGAGGGTCCAAGAGTTCGGCCCAAGGAGTCCCTCGTCCTAGCCAGTAATTACCAGTAGCCACCAGTCAACCAAGCACCCTAGCAACACCACCATTTCCACCATTTCCGCCTTCATCACTCTGTATTTCTTCCTTCAGCTTGATGTGAAAACAAACAAATAGTGAGCCATAGCAGTGTGTAAATTATCATCAGCCTCCCACTAGGCACATCTGCAGCGAGTCAGCCTGGAGTACAATACAGTCATCTTCATCTCCAAAGTGTCTACCTAGGTAATAGGTACTTGACGGTGGTGGAGTCCAGGCCATCTAGAAACAGCCACTGCCATTGGCCAGACTCTCACGCCCCCATTCCCATCCTGGAGCCACTCAGTAACTCCGTACAGATCCGCTGCCATCCCATCACATCCCCCCAAGCCCAAGCCCAAGCCCAAGCCCAAACCCAAAGATTTCTGCTGCACTTCCCCACATCCAACACCCACACCCACACCCACCCACCGACCCTCGATCCCTTCGCCGACATTGACATCGGCCACACCAAAACATCAAACATCCTCTCCCATCCGCCATACCCATACCCATACCCTTACCCATAGACTCCACTCTCGAAATCCTCTGACCACCCGTAAACTTACGACAGAGTCGAATTCGACAAGAGGTAAAGTAGTCTATCAACACTTCTTGACCGAATCCGAATTCATCTCCCCTCGCCTTGTCTCGATTCGTGTATCCTGTCATCTACCCTCGGAATCCTCACTTTTCTCGCCATCCGCCTTTCGACAGCCTCTTTCGAAGCAACCCTCCCCCACCCAACTCGATTGGGATACGGTATTTTGGGTAGGAGGATTGGGATTGGTATCGGGGAATGTTGTTCTCATTTGACGATTGCAACGCTGTGAGCACTTGCCCAGGTCAATAGGGATGACTATACAACCGTTGGACCACCCGGAGACCATCTTTGACGAACCCTTCGATCATTCCATCGCGCAGCCTCACGACATACCCGTCTACTCAAATCTCCGTTCGCTATGCGAATATCCTTGAAATGGCATAAACCCGACAATGTCGCAGGTTCTTCAGCGCCTGCGATTATGGTCGGGTGTTTTGTGGCAACAGGAGGCCTTCTTTTTGGTTATGATACAGGGTGAGTGAGGGACAAGAGAAGAGATGGAAGAGAGAGGAGCTTGAACATCTTGACTAACAAGAGAATAGTACAATCTCGGGGATTTTGGCTATGAAGGCATTTCGAAAACAATTCTCGACTGGTTATATCGATCCCAAGGATAATCTGGGTCAACTTACTCCGGCGGAATCGGCTTTGGTCGTGGCTATCCTCAGTGCTGGTACATTTTTTGGAGCGTTATTAGCGGCACCTTCTGGTGATGGGTTAGGTCGAAGAATGTCTTTGATCATTGCGGTGGCTATTTTTGCTTTGGGTATACTGCTTCAAACAATTGCGATGGGTCTTCCCGTTTTAGTAGCGGGTCGGTATGTCCACTTCCAAAAATCGGGGCACATGTACCGTAAAACTGATAATATTTTGATAGCTTCTTTGCCGGGCTTGGAGTGGGGTTTATATCGGTCCTTGTACCTTTGTATCAGTCAGAAATGGCCCCAAAATGGATACGAGGAACCCTGGTTTGCGCCTACCAATTCGCGATTACCATTGGACTTCTCCTAGCCGCTATGGTTAACATTCTTACCGAAGGAATAGATGGAGCCAACGCTTTTCGAATCCCTTTGGCCCTCCAGTTCTTGTGGGCGGGTATCCTTTTACTCGGATTAATGCTGCTACCCGAAACCCCACGTTATCTCATCAAACGAGGTCTACATAATGCGGCCGCTTTATCACTAAGTAGACTTCGTCGCCTGGATATTACTCATCCAGCCTTGATCGAAGAACTTGCCGAGATTGAAGCAAATCATGAATATGAATTGAGTTTGGGTACTGCGAGTTATCGAGATGTTTTCCTCGGTTCGCCCCATCTGGGTCGTCGATTACTGACTGGTTGTGGTTTGCAAATGCTTCAACAACTATCAGGTTGTAATTTTGTGTTTTACTACGGTACTACGTTTTTCACCACCATTGGCATTCCATCCCCATTTGTCATCTCTCTTATTACCAACGTTGTCAACGTTGCTTCTACAATCCCAGGAATGATTCTTGTCGAATCACTAGGCCGTCGTCGACTTTTGATGTTTGGTGCCGGCGGGATGTGTATAACCCAACTCGTCGTTGGTACTGTTGGATCCATTGAGAACATCAAGACTAGCGCCAACATTATACTGATAGTGTTTGTCTGTTTTTATATCTTCTTTTTCGCATCATCTTGGGGTCCAGTCGTTTGGGTGGTTACCTCGGAAATCTACCCTTTAAAGGTTCGCGCCAAATCCATGTCGATATCTGTAGCATCCAACTGGATTCTCAACTTCGCCATCGCTTACGGGACACCTTACCTCGTCAACACGGGTCACAATCTCGCCAACTTACAAACCAAGATCTTCTTCCTGTGGGCTTTTTTCTGCTTCCTCTCCATGATATTTGTCTGGGCCATGGTATTCGAAACTAGTAAAATCAGTCTGGAGCAGATTGACGAGTTATACGAGAGGGTTGATAAAGCGTGGCATAGTCGAAATTTCCAGCCTTCCTGGAGTTTCCAAGAGATGAGAGATGAGGGTGCGGGCGCAAGCGGGATCCAACTTGAGGCATCCGCAGAGCAGGATCTAGCGCGCCAGCGGACGGGGACCAGTGCCAGTGCGACGAGTACGGTGAGTATGAGTGATGAGGACAAGATCATTACGCAATTGGGGGATGTGGATTTAAGTTATTAATTATTTGGAACAACTTTTTTGAGTATGTTCGTTTTTTGGATTTATCATGGGAGTTTTTTTTGTATACTGTACTGAAGCGTTGGAGTTGATGTGCACATTTAATTGGGGGTTTACTGGTGTTTTTTTGAGGGATTTTTTCTTTGGGGTTTTGGGAGTAGGGGTTATGGAGGTTAATGGGGTAGGCGGGGTGGGATGGAGTTTTTCCTGGGTAAGGATTTTAAAGATCTTGATATTGATATTGATATTGATGGGGTTCGGTTGGGTTTGAGGTGTAAGAATTCTCTTTTTTGGGGGGGAGGTGGAGTGGGGGTAGAAGGGGGATGTGGATGTGGATGTGGATGTGGATTTGATGTCTAGCTAGCTATCTTTACGTAGGGGCGGGTGAAGAGGATGTGGAAGACTTGATATATACTATATACCTTTTCTCTTGCTCTTTCTCTTTTCTTTTTGTTGGTGTGTGTTGGTGTGTGGTGTATGTGGTACTGCAATTTTGGGATTTGGGATTTTAGAAGGTAGGCGTGGGGTGGGTGGAGGTAAAGAGAAGAGAAGAGAAGAGATAGAGGCAGAGGTAGAGGTAGAGGTAGAGGTAGAGGTAGAGTAGAGAGAGGGGGTAGGGGGGTATTTATATATCTTTCTCGAAGGCTAGATAGGAGTTAAAGTTAATAAAATTAAGTTGGGATAGGATAAATAGTATAGCTATAATATATCAAACGATTTTTGTTTTCAAAACCAAGAGATATTGGGTTTGTTTACCTATTCTTTAATAGGGGTTCTATGAAGCTTCAGTGATGGTACGGAGTATAGAGGGAGAGAATGAATGTTGGAGGATTGGGTGCTGTGCTGTGGCTGTGGCTGTGCTGTGGCTGTGGCGGTGGAATTCATTCGTTTTTGTGGATGCTAAGATGAGTGGGTAACTTGAATCTTTTTTTGGGGGGGAGGGCGGGGAAGAGGAAAGAGGGAAAAAGGAACAGGGAATAAAGTACTATATTATATAAGAGTCTTGAACTTATAATAGTAAGACGGTTAGTAGGTAGTTGGGTAGGAAATACATCCCTCATATACCCCATCGTACTACCTATTCGTTATGAGAGAAGTGGTCTTATTAACTCTCAAGCTTACTAGTATTTCCTACATTCTACTTAAGAAGTTTATACTCTACTTAAATACGACGTGAGTTATGAAACTACTCTCGACTTCGGTATTAACACGCTTCTCTTTTCCTCTCCAAAAACGTTAAAGACCTACTTATATAGTACTAAAGTTAGAAATATACTCTTAGTCTTCTTTAGTATCAGTATAAGAATAATAGACCTACCTCTTTCCTCTAACCTAGGAATTTCTCTACCGCGCTCTTACCCCCGATTTCTATTTTACTATTGAATCTTTACTTTCGCACGTCGCTCACTGACTACTATTTATCCTCAAAAGGCTGTAAGGAATGTTCATCGAGTTCGCCGTTATTGATAAGATCCCTGAAAATTGGGGGCTTATAAAGAGATTTGGAAGCTAGTAGTATCGTAATGTTTCTTGGGTTTTACAGTTTACTTCTCGGTTAATAGACTCGTCTAGTAAGGCGTAAATTCTCCTGGTGCTTCGGATGTCCCTTTTAGTTAGAAAGCTACCTTTTAGCTAAAGCTTTTTTTATTAATATATTATTCTTTTATAATAAGAGGAGTTCTAAAAACTCTACTAAGAACTAAGGTTTCTTCTATAGTTTCTCTTTTCGTACTCTTTTACTATTAAAAGATTTTATATTATCGAATTACTATATTTCGTTTACTAAATATATCTAATCTATTATTCCTTAAAGTAGTTTAGTAAGTAGAAAGCTCAAAAAACATGTCCTCTATATCTCTCTCCTTGTATGTCTCTTCCTCCTAACATCCGTTCGAAAAATCTCCCGAAATCCACTATAGTGGCAGAGGTGTGCAACTAACGTCTAGCGTATGAACAAACTAATTAACTACCTAAGTACTACTTAAGTAAAGTTAAGTTAAGTAGTTATAATTTACTACTTAATTAGTAGCAAGTACTAGGTATAACTAGTTAAGTAATACTTAAGTAGTACTTATACTTAGGTAGGTAATTGTAGTAAAAACGTAACTAAAGTAATTAATTAATTTTAAAGGATAGTTCCCTTTTGAACTATTTATCTTCCTTATTAAGAAAAATCTCTTTTAATATCTTATTCCTATTCTTAGATATAATATTAGCTCCCTTACTAAATAATAGTTCCCTAGGAGCGCTTAACTAAGCTAATTCCGAGTAGGCGGACCGACTACTAGCGACCGGCGGTATACCCGGGGCGCGCTACGGCGACTCGGTCCGGTAACCCCGAGAAATACTCAAGTACTACTTAAGTTAAGTTGAGTAGGGCTTTTAAACCTTTAAGTAGAGTAGAGTAGGTACTACTACTCTACTCTACTCTACTCATTTTATACGCTGGCAACGTCCCAAGCAGAATGCCGTACTCGGACCGCGGTTCCCCAATTCTAGTCGAGGTTAGGTTTACTCAGGGCTAGCATGAAAGGAAACTTGTAAGTCCAAAGTCCATCAAGTTACACTTATGGATATTAGACTGGAAATGGCCTTCGACACAACCACATGTTATGTTTTCGCGGTCTAGGGATTCCGTGTGATGAGGTATAGATTTGAGGAGGAAGGTAGTGTTTATAGACGTATGGTTCTGGAACTGGGTATAAGGCAAGGGGTATCAAAGGCCAATATATATTAGTTGCGAACCAAAGTTGTATTTTCGTTAATGTCAATCAGCAACGGAAACATTCAAAATGTTCCCTTTTTAAAGCTTACTCAATTCCTGACATTCACCTCATTGCACTATGACGAATGAAAAAGGGCGAGGAGAAAAGCACGAAGCTATCTAACCTCATTTCGTGTATTATCCAGAGTACGTAGCTGTCGATGGCAAAATTCGCGCAATGGAGATTTCTGATTCATATCAGCTCAGACTTCTCGCATACCAATCGTACAGAAAGGTAATCTCATCCTCCGAAAATTAACAGTAGTAACTACACCCGGGCTTCTGTCACGAAGCCACAAACTATATGTACGGGGTAAACGCAACTACAGTACCGGTACGAATTGATCAGCAAGTGAGACCTATGTCTTAGATAAACGGTCGATAAAGAAGGTGGCTCAGATCCTCCATCTTATGTCTTAGCGCTGTGTTGTGGGGTTGCTGTATTACCCACCTATATTACATCGTATTCAAGGAGGGGCTACCCGAGGCGGTTGTCTCAGAATACCGATTATTGAGACGTCATCGTTTATGCTTGAAGATTGTCAAAGTACTCCGTATTGCTGTCTTGGACTGAAATATCCACAAGGTGCACGTTTGAACCCGTATCTAGAATTCTCCGTAAGCGATAGACAAGATTATAGATCATCACTGCATGTCATTATATAAAAGCCTTAAAATTCACATGCAAATAAAAAAGACACCCAGCTTAAAACGTTTAAATCGTTTCATTAAGATTATAAACTACATTATAGAACTCATTATGGAGTTCGTTGGTAGCTCTCATACCCTACCATGTAATTGGCGAGGTAGTAGATTTGCAAACACTGACTCTCTGGAAGTAATATCTGTGAGGGTCAAGAGAGAGAGTAAGGGATTCTCCATCGTTACAGTTCTCATTAGAAGTACCCTCGCAGACCTTGACATCTCCAACATTATAATCAACCGTCTCAGCTCCTCCAGTAGAGAGCCAGAACTCAACACCACTGTGGCGGTATCCAGTCCATTTGGCGGGGAGGTCTGCAATAGGATCATTGGTGTGAGTGACTCTGTAGTGTGCTCCATTTCCGGCGTTGATGTAATCTGCGAATTTACCGTTTCCAGGTCGAGGAGAACCGTAAGTGTAGATGTCAACTGCGTAACCAGCCTGTCGGAGGTAGGCGCCGGCAATTGTTGCAATTGCTCCACCAAGACTGTGGCCGGTTGTGATGACTTTGTATTGCGGGTGAACTCTTAGAGCCGCTTGAACGTTGCTGAAGGTATCTTGTCTTACGTCTCCCCAGGCATTTTGGAAACCACTGTGGAGCTTGCAGCCATCCACAAGATCGTTGCAAGGCTCGAGAGGGATGATTAGACTGTAGGAAGAATTACATGTTAGTGGACCTTAATTGGATATAAAGCTTTATGCTCAACACGTATTGTATTAGGAGAAGGAATTTGATTACTTACTCAGTGATGAAGTTGAAGGGAGATTTTGTTCCATGGTACGAAACAACAATTTGTTTGTTGGTGTGATCGAGACCCACAAATCCATTAATCATTGATTGACTTCCAAGCTCAATGCTATATTTGATGATCAGATAAAGATTTTGACTTTTGGTACAGTTGAATCTGGGGAAACAAACCCTAGGTATCCATTGTTGATCACGTTTGCCTGTTCAACAGTTGGGCATCCATTCTTGGCGCATGTGACTTTGCTGCCAAAGAGCTGCTCTTCAGCGTTGCAATAAGCTGCCGCTGAAAATTGAACATAGTGTCTGAATCTGGCGAGGACTTCATCGTTTACTGTCGTGGGTGTCGCTATTTCCAAATTAGTGACCAGGCTCGGAAAGGTGCGAAGAGATAAAATATGTGAAAGTACATACCTCGTTTTGCCAAGTTGGTTGACACGATATCGACTGGAGAAGCAGTTACACTGAGAAGCTGAAGAGCAGCATAAGAGAGAGACAATTTTGAGAACTTCATTGTGAATGATAAAAGAGTGATACACAAGAGAATTCAATAAGCTAGGTACTATAAGAAAATGGGATGATGTAATGAACGACTTGCCCGTATGTAACCTTCAGAGAAAGCTGGAGAACAAACAAGTTGGAAATGCCTCCTAAATAAGATAAATAAAATGTACCATGAAACATGAAACCATAGATGGACCTCAATTAGAGGTACGGCCTGTAAGCTCTAGGCAATATGGAGATGACATACGGAAAACAAATCCCTTTGGGATTATGCGGTCTGAGGACTGGCTTGTTCTTCTCAAAATTACGCATGCGACGAGGAAAGAAACATGGGCCACACGTGGGGTTATTGCCCACTTTGGACCCTCCACATGCATTAGTCAATTATTGGGGCTTTCAAGATGTGTGTGATGTGCTTGTTGACTTGACTTGGCTGTGCGCTCGACTTTTGAGCCTAACCGATTCGTTTATATCGCCGGTGTTTGGACCTCTGGGAATCTTGGAATCGGTTGCGGCTCTCCGGCTCTTCCAGGGCTTCGTCTCCGCTTCTGGTCCCATCCAAACTCTCTTTGAGGTGAAGGCTTGGCTCGTTCTGCGTTCTGCCCACCGGTACTGTCGATTCACGGAGGAAGGAACAATTCTGAATGGATCAACTAGTGTCATACTTTATCTCAGTTAACCGAGACGCTCAACGTGACGCCATCAAGCATTCTCGAGGTCATTCTCAGCCCACGACCCGCCCTGGTAAAGACCCTAACCAAGTAACGCACTTCAGCCTTCTTACTTCGAAGTATTTCAAAGCTGGTAGTTCTACGAATTACATGAACCTTCAAACTCTGAGCCGGAACTGTGGGATAACGCAAGGGTAGTATGGATAGTTAAACTTAGTATTTCTGCGAAGTATATAAGTGCCTTAGTACTACTTTACTAATACACTTTACATGTACTCCGTACTTATCGTATTCTAGCTTCAAATAAATTGAGGATTTAACAATATAGACTAAATGTACCTTCGTAGCTAATGTTTTTTGAGTTACCTATCTCCTAGACGGCTCGGTGACTTTTTTGACCGGAATTCGGCACCATAATGTTTTTCACACCGGTATTTGCACCAAAAAAAGTCGTACACGTCCTTGACGCATCCAGGAATATCACCGACCCGTCTAGGAGATACTTCTGGCTTAATACGAAGTACGTACATATATAATATAGCCGAGTTTATCTCTCTAATCAGCTGGTTTTGCCGGTCTCCTATTTCTCTTCCCGCGCGAAGTTTCTATTCAAGCGAATCACACGCTATTTAATTTTCAATATTCGGACCACAAATCCATTTTGAAAGCATACTCCCACCTTAATAATGTACCGTGATTATGCCAGTACGCACGTTGTCCGAAGCTTACTTTCATCAAGGAGCCTCGGGTAAACTTTGGCACAAGATTCCCTATTTAGTTTTGTGAAATCCGATTATCCTCGTATAAATTCCGAATTAGGCATTTTTTGATGCGAACGGCAGATGATTCGCTGGTTGTTTCTCCGACGGAATGCAGATGGCAGATGCAAACTGGGATGGCGTTCATCTGATATAGTCAAAAACTTGACCACGGCGCAACCAATTTGAGCTCAACGGGTTTGTACTTCGTCTTCCTCCCATGCAAAATGATTGTAACATTCACTGGGGGTTTACCCAGTTTTTCACTCAAGCTACCCGAGGAAAGTTACCATTAATACGCCGTACACCGTACACTTAGGGCGGAGTAAGATTACTTCCCAGTCTTCGTCTTGATGTGCAAGCTTCCAAGTACTTCGTCCCAGGCATAACAAATGTTATTCTTTAGTGGGTATACAGGGGATTTTTCAGTGGAACACAGGGTCAGCACGCCCAATAACTTTAACATTTGTTAGGCCTGGGACGAAGTACAAAGTACAAATGCAATCTATCAACCATGTGGCTATTGGTTTTCTAGAAGCGCATCCGGAAATCTCCCATTTCTGTTTCATAGGTACGATTCATGTTTGTGCAGAAATAATGAATATGATACTATCAAGTATTTCGCAAGTACCGCTTCCTCTGTGTTCTAGCGCGTAACCGCACAGTGTACAAGTTGATCGGACAAGCGTTGCCATGTGGAAGGAGTCTCTAGAAAGAGCGATGCCGATCCCTGTTTAGAAAAAGATGCATTTTTATACTCCGAGGAACGATATACGGATGTCTTTTGTTTTCTGGAACGAGGATGAGGCGGGATGAGGTCTTGACAAGTGAAACAATCCTCTTGAACAGTTTATGAAACATAAGGACAAGGAATTATACGAAATCGGGTTTTCTTGTGCTCAACCACGTTGTGCCTTGGACATTGATCGATCACATTGTTTGTGGGGTGACGTGGGGAGAAGGCCCCAAGACAAAAACTAAGTTTCAGAACAGACCAGTCATGGTACGGCGCTACCGGTAATTTGTGCAATTCTACAAAGTACCAGGTTTAACAGAAAGAGTTAATCGAAAATCCTTAAGATGCAAGATATAGATGGTCTGTGTGGTTGCGATAATCGTCCACTAATCGTGGAACGGCTTCTCGATAAACCTGCCTGGGGGCGCAGGCCTCGGGTAAGCCGCCTCTTTGGGAGTTCTGAATACGTGCCGGTATCCTCTCTCGTCCACATAGCGACCTGTATGAACGTTGTATAGTGGATCTCGGAAGTACAGACTCTTTCTCCCTTAAGCTCAAGAAGAGCCCAAGCCTATATCCCTCCGAACTAGCTGCTTCATTCTCGAATTCCTATCGACTTGGTCATCGTGTTGGAAGGGAAGTTTGTCAGCAGGATGTCAAGTCAACATACAATAATAACGACAAGGAAATTTTGACTGGAAATCGACAGGGAAACAAACTCGGATCCTAGAAAATATGGTCAGCGATAGTAGAGGACCAGAACTGGCAGCTGTTGTCATCTCCTTAGTGGTATTCGCGACAATTACGGTCGCTTTACGATGCTATACTATGGGAGTTTTGCTTAGAAGATTCTTTATTGAGGATTGGCTAGCGGTTGTCACACTGGTACGTCTCAGTCACGATAAGTCGGTCCATCACTCCAAGCTAACTCGCATAGTTTTTTTACATTGCATACTCGACGTTTGCCTTACTTTCGATACATTACGGATTAGGCTCGCGTACCTACCTGGTACCGAAAGAAACACACGATAATGCGCTTCTGTTCAAGTACCTTGCTCAGGTAGCATACGTTCTTATAGCTGTTTTAGTCAAATTCATCGTAGGGTTGTTCATATTGCGTATCTGCTTTCAACAACGCAAACAGAGGATCGCTATATGGACTATGCTCGGGATTGTAGCGGTTTATAATGTCGTTTACATTTTCCTGGTAATATTTCAGTGCCGTCCTATTCATTTTTACTGGTTGCGATACGACCTCGACGCTGGAGTTAAAGGACGATGCCACAGGTAGACTAAATTGTTTCTATTCATCAAGCACTCAACTGACATGTCCTAGAAAATTGCTTGCGACCATTCCAACTTACATCAGTTTTGTTATGAACGTGATCGTTGACTGGACTTTGGCTTTCCTACCAGTCTCATTCGTCTGGAATTCAAAGATGCATAGAAAGACCAAGATGTCTGTGATTGGGGTTCTAGCAATCGGATCAATGTTCGTTTATCCCGTGCCTTCAGTGACCCAAAAGCATTCTCTCCAAGATAATAACCTTAAAATACAGTGCTTCATTAGCAACATGCGCACGAATTCCCTATGCAAAACAGTTAATTTCCAACCCCGATTACCTGTACAACTTTACCGACCTCGCAATCTGGAGTACTGTAGAAATTGGCCTCGGTCTCTCGGCATCCTCCCTTGCGACCCTCAAGCCCTTATTCCGAAAGTTCAAACTCCTTCCCGCCAAACTCACATCTCGAAACACCTCTCGACCACCGGCGGGATATGGTGGTATGGGGAGCGACGCAGACGGAACACCATTTGCTTCGAAAAACCATTCACGAACAATATCATTTGGTCGGTCAAGGGGTCGGTCAAGATCTCGCTCGAAGACACGTTCAAATTCGAAGGGGAGGATGGAGCCTCTGCAACCAAGGGCCTTTGCAGAGTTGAAGAATGAAACATGGGATTCATACGAGACGCAAATTGGCCTGCAAACGTTGGTGGAAGCAGGTCCGCCTGGAGACATAATCAACCCTATGGGTATAACAACAACGACGACTACCGTTCGTTCAAGCTCTCAACAGAGGAAGATGAGCATTTCGATAGCGGTGCCTGAGCCCACCCTGCATAGTGGGAATTGGAGTGGCAATCGGTCGAAAATACGTAACGATGATTGGGTTTGAACACCTTAGTACTTTTAATTTGTTAATGAAATTCTATTCAATATTTTAGCGTCCTGTGCTGAAGAAAAGCGTGACTTGTGAAATCTGCTACTTTAAGCGAGCTGCCTGTCAGAGATGAGTTTAATCACCATAGGGAGTACGGAGAGCATATCACTGGTCTTGAATATTTACAGACTATTTTCTTTAACATCCATACTTTCGGTAGGCAAAGATTGATGGCGATTGGTAGTTATTCCGGTACCTTACTCTTACTCGGAAGGTGTTTTGAATTATTTGATTGTCTTCAGTATTTTAGGACAAATATTTCAATTTTTTGATTTATTTATTAGAGGGTTTAGATTCATCTATACTATTGGTACAGGATTCTATGCTGAGGCACTTGAACTACTTGATACCGTGGATGACTGCGCAGAAGACGAGCTCGCACCAGATACGGTTGTCTCGCCAGAATTTAGCCGATGATAAGTGGGTCCGAGCTTCGCGACAGCATAGCACCCTCCCGGTAGACAAGAACAGTGGCAGAGACCTCTTTTATCTTATCCTAACTTAACTTAAAACCATTGTATTATATTATCTAGTTAGAATAATTAAAATAATTTATCGAAAACGATAGTACAATAAAGTTAATTGTTCTAGATACCGGTATTTTAAACATTTTAGTGCTTAGAATTAACTTATGCTAATAGTAAAAATAATAAATCTCTACCACTTTTCTTGTCCACCGGGAGCTAGCATAGTACTATAGATGTTTATATAATTCAGTAGAATATATATAAAGGTTAGGTTTTAAATGATATGAACATAAATTCATAATTTAATTTAGCGAGGGCTCGTCGACTACGCTAACACATACCAAGCGTGCAACGCTATCTAGAGCACACAATAATCGAAAGTAATCACTGATAAATTCACTAATTGCTTATAAATACTCAAAAAAATGTTATTTCACTTTATGAGCTCTCTTATTGGTCGAAAATTTATATATATATATTCTCTAGAGTTCCCAAATTTCAGAGCCTCATCCTCTGGAATATTCCACACTCGAACGGAAGATGGCGACACTGCTATAGCCAATCTCGTTCCCCCGTCCACACAGGCGGTCCAGGAATATCATATGTCTGGTTTGAGTAAGCGAACGAACGAGTGTAAATCTTGAAATGGAGAGGAGTGAAATGCCTACCGTCTTATTATACCACTCAGGGGAGTAGATATTGATCTTAACACGAGGATCTAAACCTATCAGCACCACAACGCAGAACACTCTCATCACCAACCCATAGAAAACCAAACCCAACCATCAAAACAAAGAAAGAAAGAGACATACCATCCAACCTCCAAATCCCCGGGATCCCCACCCTAAATCTCTCCCCAGGAAACCCCGTGCCGTGGCCACTAACATTAAGATGCGCACACTGCATATACCACTGCGGTTTATCCTCAATATGCAGCGCCAAAATCTCATGTCTGATCAAGTACTCGCCGGCTTTCAACGCCTTCGGCAGCGTCTCAGTCCAAATATTCGGCCCCCCCGCCCAGTCCTGGAATTCGCGTTGGTACCACCAACCCTCGACGATGCCGCCTGAAAGCAGTCCGCGCTGGCCGATTTTAAACCATTCTGCGGCACTCGCGTTGAAGGAGGGGGAGGCGCAGGGGCCGTTGCAGGGTGCGAGCCAGGCTATCATGGGGCCCACGTTGTGGAGCCAGCTGAGGGAGATTAGTTTGGATGGTGTGGGATGGTATGGATGGGATGGGGATGGAGGAAGATAAAGGGGAGGTACTAGTAGTATATTGCACTGATGTTTTGACCTGCCTCTATGGGGATACTGGTCATGGCTGGTGTTCCGGGCGTGTTGCATGTCATTGATAAGGATGTTGGATCGAAGATTGGGTCGATTGATCCCCAGGGACGGTTGATGAGCCATGGTTGATTGAGTTGTATTGAGGGAGGATCGTTTGGATTGTATCTGTTTTGACGTCGATGTCAGATTTGTTACGATGCTTTGTGCTCTGGGAAAGGGGGCAATGGGAAATGGATGGATGTACCCTCTGTACCATGTATCGCCTACTGTGTAGTTGCTCACGCCGCCGTGGGCAAGAACAGTTGGTAATATAGCAGAGATGAAAAAGAGAAATAGCAACGTGAACATTTTGAGATGCGTATGATCGATAAAGAAGAAAGGAAGCCAATGCAAGTATCGCAACGGAACCCAAAAGGAAACAGATCTTGAAATCACCCACCCGCGTATCTTGAAATCACCACTATCAATACATTCAATTTTCAATATACGTAGGCTAAAACCTCCTATGAAATACCACATCACTCCCAAAACTCTTCACACCACATGCCAAGCAACGCATCAATCAAAGACCAACCCTGGACCCCATGACATCAATAATAAGCAGCCTGAAGAACAGCCCTCCGATTCACAGCATTGCAAAGAGAGAATGAGGGGAATGCAATATGGAGGCTCATTTGCTAAATGCTGATCCAGGGTTCGGCCCCACATCCGGATATTTAAAAATGTGGTGTGGAAGAAAGCTTGACTCTTGCCTTTGTTTGGATCCCTGTTCAGGCTAAGAGATATATGAAGAGCTTCATTTACCTGGATTGAGATGTATGGATGAACTTCAGGGACTTAGCTCATTCGAGTGGTGTTTTGGGATACAAAATGTCGGGTTTTCGCTCGGATTCTTGGAATGGATGTATTAGAGTCCTTGGCTTGGTAGCAAACTTATCATTGAATCTCTTTTTTGAATTTATAGAGATGCATTTCTCGAACGTTGCTAATGTTTTTGTGCTGCCGGCGCTTGCCCAAGCTGCCGCACTTACTCGAGTATCAAACTATGGTGGAACTGCCAGTTCAAAGACTGAGATGTAACGTGACCGTAACAATAAGTTACTCAAAGCACTCGCTAATCATGTACACTAGGTGGGTATACAAACCCGACAATGTCAAAGCGAATCCCGCCTTAGTTGTGAGTACTCTCATGCTCTTGACCTTCTGGCAAACGGGTACATACTAATCACATCCTCAGGTAGTAATCCACTCTTGCCAATCAACAGCACAACAATACTTTGCCAACTCCAAAATCCCATGGCATCAAGGATCCGACGCTGGTGGGTACATTACTGTCTGGCCTACGAGTCCAAACAGCGGAACATGTTGGGATGTAAGCTCATCCAAGTCTCTCAAAAGAGATGGAGGGGGAGACTCAACCGCCATTGCGAATATGATTAAATATGCAATCCCACAGTACAACATTAATGCAACAAGGGTTTATGTAACAGGTGGTTCATCTGGAGCTATGATGGGGAATGTTCTTGCTGCGACGTATCCGGATTTGATAAAAGCTGTTTCTGTGTACTCGGGTGTAGCTGCTGGATGTTTTGTTGGTCAAGGTGTTGCACAGTGGAATAATGCTTGCAGTGAGTCTCCTTCAGCTTAATCGACCATGACGCGATTGTATGTTGATATCATTAGGCGGAGGAACAAGCACCAACACACAAGCTGGATGGGCAAAAATCGCGGAAGACATGTATCCTGGCTACAATGGAACCCGCCCAAAGATGCAAATCTGGCATGGATCTGCTGATTCGACGATTGCTCCTCAAAACTACCAAGAAGAATTGAAGCAATGGACTGGTGTATTTGGAGTTACCATGACGGCGTCGGAGAGTAAATTCAACACCCCAGAAGCATCATACGTATGTCCCCAATCTCTTTCTCTCGCATCTAGCTTTTTTTCTGCATCTAACGAAGAAGGAGGAGCTGACTATTCGATTCCTTAGACAACTTCTAACTATGGTCCAAATGTTCAAGGCATCTATGGCCAAGGAGTGGGTCATTCCGTTCCTTCTCATTTGAAGGTTTCTGAGGCTTGGTTCTCGCTTCCTTGAAACTCTAACGAGGAAAGGATATATATGATGGGGAGCAGGAAAAAATGTACATAGCTGTCTTTGAAGAACAACCAAATTTCTGCAATTGCTTGAAACATTCCTCAAGTGCTTGTGGGACTCGCCTCGGAACTTATATATTTGATTTGCTCTTCACAGCTTTCTCTTCATGTCCTCTCCCTTCAATTCTGACATTTTGAAATGTAGTACTGCCATACTCGGAGTCTCTTCGTTTTCTGTCATTATTGCCATCAAAGAGAGAAGCGTCAAACAATGGAGTTATCCTTGGGGGACTCGGGTTTTAGAGGATCCTCGTTTGCCTCATGGATGGCAAATAGCGGTATGTGGCATCGTGGCACTTGTACGACGGTACTAATACCCAACAGGCATTCTGACTGAATTTTCGTCATGCGACGAGCAGAAATAGTGAGAGAAGGCGGTGGTTTGATGTCGAGTGGTCGAGGAATCCCCGGTGGATTGCGATCGTGAAATCCCACGATGTGGTGCCCCTGCAATTGCATGCAGTCAGCCGCCTTCCACAGCGCTTCCAATAGGTTCTGGATCTTCGGCGATTGCCACCAACAGTACTAGAATTTGACATACATCGCCATCCAGACTTCATTGGGAGGCGCATTTTCGCCGCAGCATCGATTGGTCATTATCATGTTCAAACCAGGTTGACAAGAACTTGTACTTTTCATACCAAGAAGTCCCCCCACCATTCGAAATCCACTACCTGTATCGCGAAGCTCTCGAATGCGATAATGACCAAGCAGGAGTTGAAGCGCGCAAGGTCGAGATCCACCACGAACACGACCGAAGAGAGACTGGAGCCGCAACTACAGAGAGCAATTGAGGATGAAGATGAAGGGAGAGGACAGGAAAAGCTGCGCGGGCTTATCGATGAAGCTAGAGCGAAGAACCAACTTCAAGACCACCATTTGCGAATCGCGTTGATGCGAAGTTCTCTCAAGAACAAGATTGCAGCAACAAGATATTTATTGTCCGAAGGCGCGCCACCAAATGGAGCGCCGGGGAATTTGGGATCACCGCTGCTGCGAAGCGTAGAGAGAGATCATATTGCGATTGTGGGGGAGTTGTTGAGGCATGGAGCAGATCCAGAGAGTCGTGACAAAAGGGGCAGAACGTGTTTGAATATGGCAGCTTGGAAAGGTCATTGGAATGTTCTTGGACTTCTGATAAAAAACGGCGCGGACGTCAATGCGAAGGACAATCGAGGTAAATTACTCGCAGTCCCTTTCTAGGTGACCAAGTATATGCTAATGAATCCATAGGGAGAAATGTTCTTCACAATCTCGCGGCAGATAAAACCATGAACTGGGGCGATTCGGTTGTCGAGCTTTTGTTGAGGGAAAGAAATCTAGATTCCGAAGCACAAGACGAAACAAAAAGAACGCCATTAATTTGGGCCTGTGCTGAGGGCAAAAGGCATTTCGCGGAACAACTACTCACTCGCCCTTTGGGCAGAGCGAATATAGATGCCACCGAAATCAGAGATAAGACTAGTCTGCATCTTGCAGCAATACACAGCAGAGATGATATAGTTGAGCTACTTTTATCATACGGAGCAGACGTTCATGCCCAGTCCGACGGCGGATGGACTCCTTTTCACAACTCTTGTCAGAACGGATGTGAGAAGATTGTACGTCAACTTGTGAAAGCAGGTTCTGATATCAATGGCAAGCTTCTCAATGGCAGGTCAGGTCTTCATCTGGCAGCCGAGGGCGGGCATGTCGAAGTTGTGAAATATCTCCTAAGTTTCAAGCACATCAAGAGAACTGCTAGGGATAGTTTTGGCAGCACGCCGTGAGTAAATAATTAGACATTCATGAATAATTGCTAATTTGCTTAGGTTCCTACGGGCCGCGCAGTATAAAAGAAATGAAATTGTTGATCTGCTCGCCCCATACAACAATTTGGAATTTCTCTCTGCAGATGCCATTGGCGCCTGTAAGGGCTTCTCTGCTACGATTGTTGACTTTGGAAACTATTCCCATGGAAACAAGGCAGAGAAGCAGACAGTGGGAAACAAAACGGACAAGAAGACGGTCTTTGAGCTGCTTTACGCCCGTGATACTATCAATCCAAGAAAACCAGCTGTCACAATACGCCCCAAGCCGGGCGAATTTCGATGGATTCATCTTCCAGCCAATAATATGGCTTGGGTCGAATCACTTCTCACGAAGCTTTTCATCGAAGAAGGGGGCAATGATATTGACGGGTTTAAAGCGCTCGAGCGTTCTCTGACCAACCAACATCGCGGGCATCGCAGTCATTCACATTTTATGAGACCTTTGTGTCAAAAGACCACAAGATCAGTACCCAAACAGCCGGAGACTGAAAATCCTCAAATTGTTCTCAATGGGCCTGGGCCAAGATCTACAGATGACCCTGGCCCGCTGTCGAGACAATCAACTGCCACATCTGGAGACCTGATCAATTCACTCAGCGATCTTACCGACACAAAAACCTTCCAAAAAGATAGGTCGAAAAAGGGAAAAGGAAGCAAATCACCAAAACCCGCCCCAGAAACTCCTACGCCAAAAGAACTTCGCAAGGTAAAGTATCTTAACAAGATTTCCCCTTCCCCAACATCACCAGGTCGAAAAGATTTCCCACAAACTTCACGTGGCAATTTGTTTCTATTTCTTCCATATCTTCACTTTGAAAGCAGTGAAAGATGTGGTAGGATGCAAGAAGCCATTGAACGAGCAGAGAAGTATCCGCGGTCACACCCTCGTACGGATCCGGCGAGTAGTCATGATGAGATGCTTATTCGTGCACATTTGGCGTCTTCGACTGCTTCGCTTCATGTGAGGAGAACTTTAGGTAAGAATCTTATTTTCCCTTGATATTTCGATCCCCCTAAGCATTTCCTTTATCAAATTTTGGGCCACCTTTTGAAAAACTCGAAACATCGTATATTGTGCCAAAGTCTGGGAGAGTAGAAATCATTGTAGGAAATGGATATGATAAGTAGATATCTGGTTTACTCGTACAGTTGTTTTTAGTCTCCTGAACCTATGGCATCATCTAATCAAAATGATGTGCACCGAGTCGTTCCTTTCTCGATAAACCTTTGAATCTGTAGCCTCTTGTGTGATACTTTGAATCCGAGACTGTTCCACTAGGAGGTAGTGACTACTGTCTAATCTCTCTACGATTGCTCTGATTAGTCTACAAGTACAAGAATTAAGAAACTATAAGTTTAATTATGCTAGCCTTTTGGCATGATTGAACTTGATTCTTCGAATCTTGTTGGCACAATGAAGCGCTAGAAGTCTCGGTAATCAAATTTCAGCAACCAGGAACTCCTGAACTCCCCGGTTGTGTCTTCAACCAATTTTGGGCGGTAGTGATCTTACCTAGCTCAGGAGTGGTGATTCCAATGTAGAATTCGGGTCTATGAATTCACGCCGCTCATCAGACACCCCTTGATTGCTCGAAACTAACCATTCGCACCTCAGATCAAAGCTTTTACCACAACATCGACACCCAAGCACGAGACAAAGACCAAGTAGTCTACCGCTACCAAAAGAACCGACGCGAAAACCCCCGCAAAGACCCCAACATCGTAATGGTCGACCAACTCTGGATGTGGGTTCTCGGCAAAGACCTCGTCATAACCGCCTTCCCCCAACGCTGGGGGCAACCTAAACGAGACCCCTTGAACGTCCTCGACAGCATCATCGAAGACCTCAACGACACCACGCGCGAACCCGTGCAGTCCGTCTACGACCTCGCAATGGTGATCACCGGGCGCTGCTGTGGCGTCTTTGATCGACACCGTGGCGGTGACGAAGATTACCAGTTCCTAGATATGTTTGAGAGTTCCATTGGCGATGCGACGGATTGCGATTCGAGACTTTTCGATGACTTTAATCGCGCGTCCAGACATGCTAGTGCGTGGTTACAGCATCATCGACGGCTGAATCGCCCCGCGAGACTTATGCCGTATGGGTCTTCGAAGAAGGCCTTTGCGGAAGCTGATGCAGGTGGGATAGGAGATGATTTTCGAACTCCCGAGGATTTCAAGAGAGGGCCGGAGTTTATTGATAAATTACTGGATATTGGACAGGAGACGAATCTGCTAGCGGAGACGAAGGATATTAGGGATGAGCTGAATATGATCCGGAAGGTGTTGGAGGATCAGCAGCATGTTCTTCCGACCATTGAAGCTGCTATCTGCGAGATTTACGCGGAAGAACAGATTGCGCAGCGTGATGTGAAGAAGTCGTTTGCGTCGCAGGGGAAAACGGTCGCTACGCATATTAAAGATATCGACCGTATGGATAAACAGGCGACGAAAATCTATGTCTCTGTTACTGATATGCTTGATCTCAAGCAAAAACACGCCAACGCATTCGAAGCGCGGTTCGCGAGGGACCAGGCATCTGCTACCGCTAGACAGAGTCAGACTGTCATGGTGTTTACGATTGTCACTATCGTCTTCCTCCCGATGAGTTTCCTCGCTGCGGTCTTCGCTATCAATGTCAAGGAGTTCCCGAATAATGAGGGGGGTCTGCCGATTGGCTGGGTGGCGAAGTATATGTTCGGCATTGGCCTTTCGATTTCTTTCCCCATGATCTTCTTTGCGTTCTATCTTGATGATATTGGGGAAGCGGTGAGGAGGCTGAGGGGGTGGAGGTTCAAGAGACAAGGGAAGGAGGGGTATGAAGGGGAGGAGGGGGAGAAGAGTGTTCTTGATTTGCCGGGGATGGATCAGGTGTTTAGTGTTGGGAGGAGTGCGAGGAAGAGTGTGGAGAATGGGGGTTGGGTGCGAGAGAGGTTTTCTGGGAGTGTGGGGAGACCGGGGACGGTGGGGAGTTTGAAGGGTGGGTATAATGGGAAGGGGGAGGGGAATACGGGGTTTAGGATTAAGAATAGCGTTGATATTGAGAGGGGGGTGAGATGAGGGAATATTATATAGTGTGTTTTTATATTAATAAGTAGAAACAAGAACGCAGAACTTTCGTCTTCGTCCCTTGATTGTTGAATGGCGGTTGGAAACTTGGTAAATATTTAAGATTCAGATGGAAGCGAGAAGCTTCGGAGACCACCTACAACTACAGACAGAGAATGGAAAAAGGGTTTCGAGAGCCCTGCAAAAAAGGCGTCCCCAAAGCTACGTCTTTTACCAAGTTTTCAGACTCTACAGCATCTAAGTCAATAAGAATGACAACAGCAAAAAAAGCCCACTTCCTATGAAAGCAACTAGAAGTAACGGATTCGACAGCAGAAGAGTTTTCGACAGTAGCACCAGAATCTGAAAACCGTTTTCAGGCGAATTAGTTCTATACCCTTGATTTTGAAATCAAGATTATAATCTAGCTTTCCCTCAAGACATATGCATTGAAGAGTTATGGTTTCGGTAATGGAACATGTAACGAACGACCTGATACTCCTTCGATTCAGTGACACCATAAGTCTACTTACTTGGCTTTGGGATAAATGGTGGGGTCTTATGAATATAACATCTTGAGGGGGGAGTGGAAGGAAGTAAGGAATGCAGAGGTGCTGAGGGATGTTTGTTAAAGGTTTAGTGAAGTCCAATTTTTCATATCAAGCCATCTCAGGTTCAATACTGCTACAAGATTTACCTATCGTAGGTTTTCTTGTTGTGATAGCAGAAATATTTGATTGAGAAAGAGATAATTTCTAGTGGGTGAACTTTGTAACGTCATCTCTACAGATAGTAATAGTATCAAGAATACATATAACATTTCCTTTCTTTCTCACTCCCTAATTCTAGACTGGTTGTATATAGTAAATATACATGATCCCTATACTGGATATACTTAAATCCCAGACTCACTTTAGTTATAAGGAACCTCGCAGGTGTTTAAAACCAAATACCATAATATATCAGAATCAGATTAAAAATCAAGAGCTGAAAGCCTGAAACTAGTATAAATCTCCACCACCAGTACCACCCACCAACGTGAGTTCATCACTGTCGTATGTGACAACGGCGCAATACCAGGGTTGACCAATGTTACATACAATGAGTTCTACAACCTCATTGAATCGCGTAAGTCATTCTAACGTACACACCTTTTTGCAGCTCAATTACCCTAAAGTCCTACCTATTGAACTCTAACCTGTAGCAAAACCCAAACAAACGTAAATTAGAGAATCGACAGCAAGACCGTCCTCGACAACAAATACGCCTAATCGCACAACTTTGACTTCCAAGTATAGGAATCGATATGAGGGAGGCTAATAGCGTCTCATGCAAAAGAGCCACGAAGGTTGTCTTCATAAAGTTGCCTCCTGTTCTTTGAGGTTCAGTTGAGAAGTCTCCACAGATAGCTCAACAAGAAAGTCGTCCACGTTTTGTGTTATGAATGGTATCAGTATCACAGCGGGAGTTTATATAGACAAACTTAGCCCCCTTAGTGGACTTTGGGATTATACCGTTGAAAGCGTGGATTATTAGATTTACTGGTATTAAACAGTGATGTCTATTTTCTAGCGTGGCTCCCAGTGGACAAGAAAAGTGGCAGAGATCTCTTTTATCGTATCCTAACTTAACTAAAACCACTATATTATATTATCTATTTAGAACAATTAAAATGATTTATCGAAAATGATAGCACAATAAGGGCAATTGTTCTAGATATTTTGAATATTTTAGTACTTGGAATTAACGTACGCTAATAGTTAAAAAAATGAATCTCTACCACTTTTCTTGTCCACCAGGAGCGTGGCTAGATGTACCGCACGTCTAGTGAAGCTGTTGTGATGAAGATTTTGAGAGGTGATATGGAATTGCCAAGTTGCGCAAAGTAAAGTCTTCTTAGAGATACAGAAGGATATCAGGACATCCAATAATATTAAAAACTAAAAAATATCTCTACGAAATATCTAAAATAATCAAGGAATAATAGCTGCGTACCACCCCTCATCCCTCCCACCATTTCCCTAAAATTCAATACGTCCCATCCCATCCTTATCCCACCCATCCCTCATGAACCACTAAAAATTATATACTAGAATTACCCCCTCCACTAATCTCATATCCCACCTAACTCCCTAAACAGGCCCTTCCCCAGGCAACGCAAACCCGGGTAAGTTCGGCCAATTCCCAAGATTCGCAGGATCCCCCCCAATCCTCACAAATTGTCCCACACTCGGCGTCGGCCCATCAAGCACAAACATCATATACCAGCCAGGCGGACAAACATGTTCATTCGGGGGCGCGGTAACGGTACAAGTCGTGCTTGCACAGCTGACAGCCGGGAACATAGTTCGTTGACCCATGGAGTTGCCATGGGTACTACTCACACTGCCCAGCAGACTCACTTGTATATTGCCGGTGCTGGAGGTAAAGGTGACGGATTGGCCGTACGACCAATCTTTGTTGGTGATGGTGAAGGTAGGACGCGGGAGTCCGGAGAGGAGGTAAGGGGGTGAGAAGACTTCTACACGGTATTCTTCCGGGAAGGTATCGGGTGGGGTGAGGTATTGACCTGAGGGGTCGGAGCCGGAGACCATTACTCGACCGTCGAGCAGGACGATGGCTTCGGAGTGGTAGAGTCGTGCGACGGTTGTATTTGCCATGACGCTCATTCTTTGGTTGGCGGGTTTCTCGGGATCGTAAAGGACGGCGTTGTAGTTTGGTGCTCCTGCTAGACCGAAGCCTGCGACTCCATGTTGGCCGCCTCCTAGGATGACATATGTTCCGTCTGGGAGACCGGCCATGCAGGGCATGACGCGACGAGAGGGCTGGATATTGTTAGTGAGGGTTTGAGGAGGGAGTTGTGTTTACTCACCATTCTTTCGATTAGCCACGTTGGATTTGGAGCTTCTGGCTGTGTGGAAACGCAATTGTCGATTGGATTTCCTGCTCCCTCAGTAGAACCACCACAGATGAGAATTCCAAGAGGATCTGTAAAAGGGGCATATTGGGGCAAGCTGACAGTGGCACCTTGAAGTTGATATGTGCGTCCACCTTTGGGATCGTTGACAGCACCGGGAATATTTGGCAAAGTCTTGATGGTATTAAAGTTGACTTCGTCCAAGATACGAGCTTCGTTGTAGTAAACAATCAGAATACCAGAAGGCACGACGGTGATCCATGGATACAAGTTGAATGGAGCTGTTCGGTCCAAGAAATCCAAGTATTTGGTTGTGTTCGAATATCCACTTTGCGTACTGGCATCCGGAACACCAGTTGGAGGAAGGATCTCAAGAGTCGGTTGTTCTGCAGCATTTTGACCAATCTCACCTCCAACCACAAGAATAGAACCATTTGCCATAACCAACGCAGAAGGATACCATCGTGCCACCTGAAGTTTGAGATGCGCTCCATCTTCAACCCATTGATTGACACCTTTGACACCAGGAGACCCATCCGGCCAGTAAATTCTCACACCAAATAGGGACTCGCCAGCCCATCCTCCAACGTTGAGTTGTCTTCCCGCCTTATCAGGCATGGTAACACCACCTGAGCAGAAGATATCCGTGGGAGGTTTGGTCATTGTTCTCCAAGCAGACTCAAAGTTATCGATTTGAGTCAAATCCAGCTCATAAGCTCCTGTGCCGTTTGGTGCGCCAGTCCCTGATTTTTCAAGAAAAGTTACCTTACCGAGAATCGTTTGCGAAGTGATGAGAGGAACGATCTTTCCTCCAATTAGTAGTGAGTATTGGCCTGCTGAAGCTCCAGTTGGAAAGTCCCATTTGTAAAGTGGATCAGTTGCATTCCATGAGTAGTAAGTGAGTCTGTTTCCAGAGCCGCAATTGTATTGAGGAGCACCAGAGCAAGGAGCATTACATTCAGAATCCGGGTATGTAGATGGTGGGGTGGCATATGTATAGTGGTCTGGATCGGTAGGTACGGTGGAAGTGGATGGCATGGATGCAATCAGAAGATTGTCAACATCACCGCAAACTAGAACAAATGAGTGGAGAGCTTGTCAAAGTGAGCAAAATTACTTACAGCATTGTGATCCGTATTCCTGTCGACATGTTAATAGACACTTTGAATGAGGATATCACGGCTTAAACTTACCAGACCGGCAGCATTAAATCCAAACATGCCACACTGCCTGATACATTCTTCTGGTGTATTGGTCTGCTTATCCCAAACTTTGTAGGGGAAGGTCTGAATGTTAATATTTGCAGCCTCTGCAGAAACCACATTATCACCCACACAGCCAGAATAAGTCCAGCCAGTGGGTAAACCCGAGATCTGAGGACCCGGAGCTTGGAAGACTTGAGGAGTTCCAACAGACATCATGGAAATTCTATTTCCAGCACCACAATTAGTTGAAGGAAGGCCAGGGCATGGAACGTTGCAGTCGGCCTGATTCGCAGCGAGGGCGCCACCATTATATACAAAGTTGTCGCAGAAACACTGTCTGAGGTTAGCTATGACAGCATGGCAACACCCGCATATTCCTCCTTACCTGCACGCCATATTCGACTCCGGCTATCTTGTATCCCAATGCAGCACATGTTTGCACGCACTTCTGCAGGGTATTTGCCGTACTATCAGGTTGCTGATGGGTGAGCATCCGGCCATTGGCTGGTTCGGCCCAACAACCTTGGGAGGTCCAACCCGTTGGAAATCCTGTTGCAACAGGGGCTGTAGATGTTGGTGTTGGATCCACGCTGGTACTCGGCGGGGGAGTGCCAGACAATGTATACACAGTAAGTCGTCCACCGGCACCACAGAACTCACTTGAGTCGCCAGGACATAAAGTCGAGCAGTCACTAGCAGCAGCGACCACCGATCCCGTCCCTATACTGTTTCCACAATAGCCTGCATACAGTCAGCTTTGCACCTGCATATTTGATTTTGGGGAAAAACGTGCACTCGCGTCCATACTCTACACCAAAGTACGTGTAACCTCTACAGAAAGTCGCGCAAGCCTCTATCGTCATTGAGTCTGAAGCGGTTGTGGCACCACCCAATGCTCTCCCTACAGTTGGCTCTGTTCGGCAACTTGAAAAATTATAACCGCCCACCGCAGGCTTGTTCCCGGGAGCAGCAACAACTTTCCCACTCCAATAAACGTTCACTCTATTGCCTCCTCCACAGGTTTCAGTGCTATTACCAGCACAGGGCATATTACAATCACCTGCGGTGGTCTGAGTAGCCGAAGCGGCGATTGTATTTCCACAATCTAGTCAAACTCATTAAAAATTGGACCAGTATGATCCAAGTGCTATGTGTACTCACAACATTCACTTCCATCTGAGTAAAGTCAGCTAAATTGTTGTGATAAAGGTTATGGAGAGGAGGATTTCGAGTTTCCGGATCGGGAGGCTCAGGGATGGGTAAAATTGTAAAACATGCTTACATTCCACCCCCGCATATGCAAAGTTTCTTCCTATGCAAAAAGCAATACATGACTCTACAGTCATAGTCGCTGCTGCACTATTGGCTCCAGCAAGTGTTCGATCACCGTTATCACTAGATACGTCAATCTGACAGCCTCGTATTTAACTCAGGTACGTACGTGTAGCACCCCTGAGAAGTCCAACCTGTTGGGAGGACAAGTCGTTTCCCCAGGCTGGCGGCGTGAACCAAAGTAAACTAAGCAAGTCAATGGATGAAAATCAGGGCGAGAATGGGATACGAACTGTCGTCAGTACAAAACTTGCCCCAATGGAAGACCTCATTTTTAAAAGCGTGACTTCCCTTACATATGCAAGGCTCTATAAAAAAGAAAAAAGAAAGGAATAGAATAGAATATTAGATGTCAGATCTGCCGATCCTCGATATATCTCGAACGATACTCGATATATCTCGAACGAATGACTGTTGCAGCAACGAGTTTGCTTGAGAAACATAGCAATTGAGGGGGGGGGGTACTGATATACTTGTAGGTGATTTGCTCCATATGCGAAGGTCTTCACAGGAAAAAGTAATTGGAGGTCCAGGATGTTGCATTGCAGAACGACTAGGGCTGATTACTGGGGCTGGGGTTCGCTGCACAGAAGCAGGTTGTGCATGGCAGGCCATGCAAGAAGACTTCGTATTCCACGAGAAAAGATAGCAAGCCCAAAACTTCAAGCGGCCTAACGGCAAACAACCGATCAATGTCCATCTCCAGCTTGTATTTCTTTACTGGAACAGTATCTTGTATTGGGAAAATAGAAGAGTGGAATGATGTTGATGGTGATGGTCGGTTAATACGACGTAAATGGGGGGAGGCGCGACTTCAACCCACCTGCTCACGCCCTGTGGGATCGGATTGATCAATCTCGATACGGGCGATACTGCCGGATACGCGCGACAGGGGCCTAATTGGGAGACTATCAAAAACGGCTCGAGGACCCTTTACTAGGCCGGCCTATGGTGATTCCGTTGTGACGAAGGTGGAGACCGAGATGATTTTCCGAAAGGCAGGAGGATAGAAATCCCCAGCATCGGCGCCTGATCAACAAGCCACCAATATAAGGCGATACAACTCCTGAAAGACGGCGAAGTCAAAATGAGGATGTTCTTTCATGTTGCCACTGCAGATGCGGTGTACCAGTGAGAGGCTGGAGGTGAGTGGAGAGTCTGACAGCTTACGTGGTACGGTCGGTTGTTGGCGATGGTGTTGTAAGGTGGAGTACTCTTTTTGATAGGAGATAGGAGTACCTAGGTGTACGAATAGGGGTGATAGACTAGTCCTAGAGATTCTAGAAGCAACTCTGTTACCGAGTTTTGGGAAATTAGCTCTTATCGAAGGTGGTATATGTCTGTTATAAATAGACAGGGCGGCCGAATGTTTCCATGGCCTGATGTCTGGGGTGACCCCTTTCAAGGCTGAATAGTTTGGTACTGCCAGTCAGTATGAAGGCTGAAGTGCTCTAAACCTACTCGGATATCCAGTAGTACGACGGTCGGACACGCCTCGGCTCGTCAACGTTCAAGCCATGCTTTATCGAGGCTTTTCGCGAGGTCGCAAAGAAAAGCCATGAGATCCTTAGACTTGTTGTCCTCCAGCCGGAGTATATTGTAACGTTGAACAGATTGGCGCATGGCGGTTCTTGCGACGTGGACCAGATGAAAACTTTGGCATCGAATTGAGGTTACAACCAGCAGTACAAATGCTATATAAAAACGAAAAAATGCCCAGCTTGGGTTGCCCTGGGACAGGATAGGGGGGATTTAGAGATTATTGATTGTTTGTGCAGACCTTACCCGTCCTAATTAGGAAAGAGGGACACAAAGTTTTTATCCGATCACGTGCGGGATCGGGCCGGCCTCCTCCGCTCTCCTTTTCATCTCACCCGCTTCAACAAGTGAAGTAATCTTCACCAATTGCTTTCGTCAAGACACCGACCCATTTCGGGAACGTCCAATTATATCGATTCTCCTCACGCCAGACTTGTGACCATGAACTGTGTAACAATCGTTCGACTTTCTTCATCAAATTTCGGTCCCTCCAAAATATCAATCCACGGCTGACACTACTGACAGAAGCTTTTCCCGCGTGTTACGCAAGCCTTCGGCCTATACCCAATCTCGCACGTTCGCACATCAAACCATTTCCAGGCTTCCATTCTTCATCGTCTCTACTCCTTCCCAAACGTTTTTTTCTTACGCAACAGTTGTAGTTATATCAAGTTTGCGGTCTTGGCAATATTGATTGTCCCAAGTACTGCACTGCACTGTCTACAGAGTCGTACTTGACGCAACTCCATGATCACCGGAGCATATGTCGCTTCCCTTATTTCCTGTCAATCTGCCAGTACCGGGTACTCAAGGACCTGCATGCGAAACAGAGTCGGTGTATCTCGATCGGAGCCTTGTCGAAAAACTGGAAATTAGGATGACTTGATGCTCTCTCCATCTTTCCACCAGGATCCCACAATTCTCTGCTGACATGCTGACCCTCAGCGGTGAAGACTGTAGTTGGGAACCTGCATGGTATGTACTTGCATCACAATATTGGTGGATTCAAGACAACTTGAAGTTCGACTTATGCATTACTAGTTCTTACTTGGTACTTTCGACGACACCAACCTCCAACCAGCTTCCAATTCAATCCCTACAAGCGCCACTTTGCAAGTTGAGAGCGACCAATTATCAGGGTCTTCGTGTTCTCGATATCCAAACCCAAGCAAGGTAACGGGTGTCCGGAGGCGCTCTTGAACCGTAGGGTTGGAATCTTGAATACGATAGATACCGTTCGTTATCTTTCCTTTTTTAGAAGTGGGGCATTTCGCTCGACCCCCAAACTTTTCAACGTCCTTGAATTTCCACATCGCGGGAAGTTTCCGCAACGTTAATTCAGCGGGGTAAACTAAACAGTCGACTTTTCCTGTTTGTCCTTTGTTAAAAGGGAACAATGCGTCTGTGAGCATACTCACATGGTTTCTCCAAAAAGCAGATTGACATAAGTGTGCCTGAGTCTGTAAAGGAACCTTGCAAGAAGCAATTGCCGCCAAAAAACAAAGTTGGCATCGATATGAGGTGGTATGCCATTCATCTTAGCTGTTTACTGCTATTTACTGCTGTTTCCTGATTTTTCTGCTTTTTCTACGCCTTTAAACCTGTTGTCATTTCAGGATTTAAAGCTTACTACGCCTTGAATGGGTACAATTCAGACAATTGTCACCCCGAGATAAGGCAAGTACTTGCTCTAACCGCAAGTTTTGATCAAGGAACGATCGAAAACATATTCTAAACATATTCTCATGGCTTCTAGTGAGGTCATTTGACTATTCTCCCTATATGAAAGAGGCAGAGGTCGAACAATGGACTTGTTCTTCTCCACCTACTACTCCTCTTTGGTCGCTGGCTTGGCTCAATTGATCTGCCAAGATCAATTTGTTTATTTCTTTGTTCAGTCAGAATTTTACTGGTCATCCTCTCTCATGATACTCAAAGTCGGTGAAAGGAGCGATTGAATATTTCGACTGATCAAGTGCTGCTCAATTAATAGTGAGCTGAGAAGAACCGGACTCAGTAGCAGCCTCCACTATACAGAGTATACACGTTTTTCGGAGCTAAAGAACAGAATCGCCGCGAATTTGTTTCCCTTCCCAAATTGGACTAGCAACATGGAAGCTAAAGATGTTTCTCAAGAAACAAATCTCATGGAAATACATAAGTAATCCATTCATTTCCGCTCTTATGGCCTTTCCTTCTCCACACACATCACAACAATGTCGGCCCCACAACAAATCGCAAACATTACAGTTAACATCTTCCTCAGCACTCTCCACCACAACCGCAATAACCTCGACGGAATCCTCGCACCAGACCAAACATTCCGCTTTGGCAACGGCGAGATCCGATGGAGCCTCGTTAACAACGAGCCCCACGTGCATATCACGCTAGACTGCACTGGCGGTGTCTGCTGGACCTTCAACTGGTCGCCCAGATATGGTCAACGGATTTTAGAACCTCGTCCAAGACTAGGTCCTGAGGATGGTTTAATACTGGCCGTCCATATGGAGAATATGGCGCAGGATGATATTCTCTATTTGAGTCAAACGCAGACGCCGAGTGGTGGAATAAAGGATGCGACGCTGAGGGTGAGCGGGTATCAAATTAAGTTTGTCAAAAGTGATGTTCCTTTACTGTACTGATTCTGATTCTGTAATGGATGAGGACTCTTGCTAAAGTAAAGGGACAGCACTAAGATCTACTTGATTTAATACTTTCTTCTTCTTCTAAACTCTCTTGCTTTCCATACTTGCTTTCTTATCTCCAAGTATTTCCTTACTTAACCCAAAAGAGAAAGAAGAAGAAAAACACACAGAAAAATTTCAAAACAGTTATAATTAACTGAAAAAAACTGCTTTTTTCTTTGCCCCCTACCCTCTTATTAAATCAAACTCCCTTTTCCTTTATAAACTTTCTTCTCCTTACCCCTCCTTACCCCTTAAAACACTACCGATTATAAATGTTATAAGAAAGTTAATATAAAACTAGCGTTCGAATAAAATATCGACTCCTTAACAGCGTATTAAATTCGAGTAGTTAAGTTGGAGTAGTGGCACCTAATCTCAACTTACTGTAACTCGAGTAGTGAAAATCGCTCATTAACTCAACTCGCCAAGTACTCGATTAACTCATGAGTTATTCGAGTAGTGTCGGCCCGATACCCCGAAGCGCCCCCGCCTCGCTAGCCGGCTCCGGGCGGGCGGTCTACGCACTTAGACTTAGCCGAGAGCCCCTACATCAAGCATATACCGGTACTAAGTTTCTTGTATTATAGGGGATGTTTTTATAGTACGTGAGGACAAACAACCGACAAGTGCTAGCGGTGGAGGTAGGAAGCGTATGCCCAGGGCTCTCTTTTCCTCGCCCGCATCCATCCACCATTTTATATTAGCTAACCTTTTTCTTTTAGTTTTTAGGAATAGGAATAGAAAGAACGTATAGTACCCTAGGGCTCTCTAACCCCTAGGTACTAGTCCTCTATATATACCCCTAAGACGAATGTAAATATAAAAGTTACGTTATATATAACTACTCGAGTACTACTCGAGTAGTTAACTCTACTACTTAACTCAACTTAACGGAATTACCTAATTATACTTGTTCAACTTAACTCGAGTACTACCCGATTAACGTTGAGTTTTTGATTGGTTTTGTTAATAAGCTACTCCTTAAGTATAGTACTTCTCAAGTTTCTTAAATAAAAAACAAAAAAAAAACTAAAAGTTAGATGTAGAAGTAAATACCTCTACTCTACTCTACCCTCCTCCCCTTACTGAACTAATAACTTCCTCCCCTCTCCCTCACTCTCTCTATATCTATACCTACACTATAACCAGACAATTAAATCCTAACAATCTTACATTATCAAACAAAACCCAAGATAAAAAAGAGACGTATATACTCTAACCCAAACTACAAGCGAGCTAGTCCAGCTAGCTATCTATACACAAAATCCCATCCAGTAAATACATAACAATACCACTACCACTACCCCACACTACCCCCTCGCCCCATCCCTACACACCCAATACCCACATAAACACTCCCTCTACTCTCACTCCCCCTTCCTCCCAGTGGGTGGACAAGAAAAGAAACCAAAACCGGCAGACCTCTGTTATCTTATCCTGATTTTAACTAAAAACCATTATGAGATATATCATTTATTGGGAGTAATTAAAATTAAAATGATTCATCGAAAACGATAGTATAATAAAGTCTATTAATAGTTCTAGATATTTGAAACATTTTAGTATTGGGAATGAACTTACGCTAATAGTTGCAAAAGGAATCTCGGCCACTTTTCTTGTCTAACGGGAGCCCTTCCTCTTACTCCCCCCCAGGCCTTCCCCCATCAACCCCAACACCCAACCCCTAACTCCCCCGCTCTAATATTTACCTAGTACCGTACACCCAGAAACCCACAAAAGAACACAAAAACACAACCCAAACGAAGTGTAAACACCTCTGAAATCCAGACACACAACCACAAAAACATCCCAATTACAAAGTCAAGCAATAAATCAACGTTTCAACGCAATCCATCCCATCCATCCCATTAAACTAATAAGAGAGACTACTCCCCGCTCCAGGTCCTGTATTCCCCATTCCATCCACCATCCACCATCTCATTCCACCTTCCAGCATCCCATATTATGTAAAAACCCCTTAAAAACCCCTTACTTAAAACCCCCCATTCAACTTCCACCCTCATCCCTCATCCCACAGCCCTCCCGATGAAAAAAAAGCCTATAACCCCAACCCCTCCGCCCCCTCTAGCGCCAAAAGCGCAAACCACCCCCCAACCACCGGCCTCGCAGCAAAATGCCCACTCCCAATCGCCCAGTTCCCCGTATCCGCATCATACAGATCCGTGACGGGGACATTCGTCGGCGTCTCCTGGATCCACTTGGCCACCTCGCCGACGAACAAGTTCTTCGTCTCCTCGCCCGCGATGGCAGCAGCGAAGAACTCCCAGTCGTTCTTCGTGTAATCGTGTCGTGTATCCAGGGGTACGCCGTAGGTGGACATGACGGTGGGATAGAAGCTGGATTGCATGTCGTAGATGGATTGGGGTACGAAGTTAAGTGCGAGTTCGCGGTCGCCGTAGAGGTTGTATAGGAGCCCGTGCGTTTCGTTGTGTCCGTAGTTGAGTGTTGTATGTGGGGGGTTGGCATCGTGGGCGATTCCTAGGGTTTGCCATTGGGTTAGGTAGGAGGAAGCTATTTTCGTGTAGTTTGCTCCTGTTCCAGTGTTTCCGGTGGCGTTGGCGATTACTGCCATTGCTTGAATACCGATGATACCTTTGAGAGCGAGGTTGGTTTGGTTGACCAGGGAGCCAGCGAAATCATCTGTTGAGATTTGGTCGGCGGGGATGAGAGCTTCTTCGATGAGGTATTGTGTCCATTGATCTAGAACTTTGAAGTGTTGCGTGAGGTAGGCTTTATCTTTCATTCTTTGGGCGTATGCAAGTGTCATAATGAGCATGTTACCACATTCTTCTAGAGGCTGTGGCTCATCGAGACCGTCCGGATGACCAGTTGCCTGAAAAGGAAGAGTGAGCTTTATTCTCTTCCAAATAAAATGGTAGAAGTGGATGTGGGAGAAAATGGATCGACAAACTTACATTAGGATAATGCGCTCCCAAATCATGCATAGAGTACTTATTCGGATACTGCCCACTCTCCATATTTTCAAACAGTGGATCCAAGAGCAATTTCAACCACTCAGGTTTCAAGTACAAAAGAATTGGGTGATATGGGAAAATGACATCTACGGTCTGAGTGTTTCCATCAGAACTGATTTCCTTCAGGAAAAGATACTGCTTCGTCAAATTTCCAACAAGTTGAGTAGCTCCAAATGCTTGACGGGTCGCAAGAGTCGTGGCAATTGAATAGTTCTGGCCTCCTGAAGCAACCGAATCTTTGGCTATTTTGGCATCAAGGGTTCGTGCATTTCTACTTGCAGTGGCATGGTCATGGTAGAAGAAAGCAACCTAAGAATGTTAGCTGATTTCAAGGCGAAGAATAATGTATTGCTCACAGATTCCTCTTCACTTGCAAAGTAACTTGTCCATAACGAAGCCAGAGGAATTATTCCAGTTTCTCCATCAAACTGAATAGCCTGCTTCTGAGAGAGACCAATGGTATACAGAGTCGAATGACTTTCTCGTTGAACAGTACCAAAATCACTTGAGTATCCGAAAACTGGATAGTTCTGGTTGATAGGTCTGTAATTGGTGTCGTTGGTATTTCTCAAAGTACCATTATTCAAGAATTGACCACGGACAACCGAATCTGGTCCGGACTGATAGGCAAGGTTCAAATTGTTCTTGGTGGAATAATAAAAGTTACCCCAGTCAGCTTGATCCGAGGATTCGCTGAATTCGAGCTGCGTTTGTCTATAAACCTTGTGATGAGCAACACCATCTGTTACCCCGTAATCCCATTGGGCCACAGAGCTGTGATCTCCAGCAACCCATTCTATTTGATAAGTCAATTCTCTCCTTTCGTGTGGCTGATTGAATGCTTACCAGCAGATATGTCAGTGTAGAGCTGTACTTGATGACCTGCTCCGTCTGCCGAGCTCACTCGGACTTCAAGAAATGAGGCTAGAACCGATTGTCGTTTCATATCATCTACATTAACTGGGGACGTGAAAGTGATATTCACTGAGAAATTTAGTATGATACCAGCAAATAAAGTATTCGATATCCAAGGAGGAATTCTTATAGCTCCAACCTCGGGAGAAAATCGAACATAAGAGAACATAAGAAAGTCAACTTACTCTCAATCTTCCCTCCAACATCCATAACGAACTGACTCGAAGTAGCCGTATAAGTAAAAGACTTTTGGAAAACCACTTGTGACCCAGGATACCCAGGATTTCCCATCCAAGTATACGCTACCCCATCTACGCGGATCAAACCTGTCCATGCAGTAACTTGTCCACTTCAACTCAAATTAGCCTCGAAGACCACGCTCTTGAGTATGGGATGTACGCACGCCCAGAACTGAGGCCATTGACCAGCCAGATATCCCCCATTTCCTGCATCGCTTCCAGCAAATAACCACGTGCTCAAGTAAGGAGATCTGACAGCTAGAGGAATCGCTGGAGGTTGAGCAGGTGTAAATGTTGATTTTGGTGTCTGTAAAATTCCCACTTCTTGTCCATTTGTGGAATCGAGAAAAGCTGTTAAAGCAACGATCAATAAGGGGAGATATTTCATTGTCGTGACCGATTGGTGAAAGACCGGTGTTGGGTGACTGTCCAAATCCAGAAGGGGCTTTTGTTTATGTTGAATCTCGGGAATTCCAGTAGTTAAGTATATTCCAGTCGGTGACACATCCACCCAACTAGTGATGCGGGGTATTCTGTAAGAGTGAAGATGGCTGTGAAGCAGTAGAGAGCGACTAGGGTATGGATGGTCACAAGCGTGGAGGAAAGATGGTCAAGTAGAAAGTCGATACTGCGGGTCCCAACAGGTGTAAGCGTGCTCTGACTATGCATGAACCAAATGATTGTTGTACAGAGGTAACCTTAGCACTCTGTTGGCCCTGGAACGTGATTGGGACTTAACACATGATAGACTCCTTTTTGTGTAGGAGCCGTCGTCGAAGCATACGTACCCAGAGGTTTTTTGGTATCTTGTACCGGCATCCGGGCTGGTCCAGGTATGGGAAGGAGCATGTCAGGGTTGTGGCAGGGTTGTAGCAGCGGTAGTTACTGTAAGCTTCATTGTTTCGCTCCTGCCGAAAGCTGGAGGGCAAGTCGATTCAGCATCAGCCATGTAGACTGCCTTCAAACGTGGCAGCATATTCATAAGAAGTATCTATCAGCGTACTCTTACAGGATTCAAAATAGCACACATATAAGACCACTCGGAAGAAATATCTAGTAAGAGATGTTGTGCCAATGTCAGAAGCTTCTTTACTTCCGATCGAGAAGCGAACGCCTGCAAGGGGTAGCAACCATGAAGGATTAGAGGCGAGGTAGTAAAATGCAACAACGTTAACCCACCCCCACAAAAGCTGTCATCCCGCATGAGAGTCCGAGGTATGTAGCGCACCACTTAGGACGCATTAGTATGTCGTCCACCGGACGAACTCTTCTATTGATTAAAAGGACGCCTTTGGAAGTTATCAAGAGGCAACACGCATCTTCCGTGATCAGAATTCCGCTCGGGGAAGAAAAAAAAGAACATTTGACGTTCAACCCAACTCACAAGACCCCCATACATTGCAGGAGGGTCGGTAGGAGCTGCAAGTAAACTAGCGTCATCCAAACTTCTCTTTCGCTTGTCCATGGTCTCGGGACTTTCAACCAAGATCAGATTAAACTCTCGAACATCGGATGAGAATAGCCATGGATCGGAGTGTATTTTCCAGGTTTCGGTAGGAGAACATCTATGGTGTATGAAAGGAGGTTGGTCAAAAACGGGCCGTTTGAAGACATCCTTGCGCTGATCTACTCGGTAGGACGATATCGCGGGGTAAGAGCTAGGGGGAGGTACTTGTGACTTCCATGGATTTTTATTGATGCTCTGCACCTGCGTTGACTAGATTAATCGGGAAGTTGCGATGAAGGAAGGTAACTCGGCTTGAATATGGCACTATTGCCCCGCTGTTGGTGCAACGGAAAAGTGTCTATTTGGACATCTCTTGTAGTGGTGGAAGGGGCTACGAACGGTCCGAAGATGGATTGTAAGCGTTCTGCCACTATGTTACCCGCTACTAGTACTTGTACCTAGCTGAGCCTACGCACTTGGAGAATCCTTCACTCGCGGAAGTGAAGGTCTCATGCTCTTCATGAACGTAGCAGGGTTTTGTCCGAAGGTGCATGCATTCATGCATTCATGCATTTCGGGAAGGTGCGCATGTCATCCGTGACGTACGACCTCCAGGTTCATCAAAATGTCCGGATGCATTTCAAAATTTCCAGACCACATGCTCGTGCTGATTCTTCTCAACATCTTTCATCATACACAACCTTGACATGAACCCCAGGAGAGGAGTACAATGCCCTCGCACGTGTATTCGTGCAACTCAAACTCCTGTTCCAAGGGCGGGCCTTCAATTCATACAACACGTCCCTGGCACTTCATGAACCGTCTCCAGGACTCCTCTTCTCTCTCACCATGAGAAGAAATCTGGTGACGAACTTAAGTCTTGGGCAAAAAGACAAATTCAACCCTTTCAAACACCACCAAGCTCACTCTCTCTTTGCCTCCAAACCCAAAGCCTTCCTTTTGCTCATGCTAACCTTCTTCAACCCTTCATCTTCATCCCTCGTTGCATGCAGATAAATCTCACAAGCCAACATATTGATAGCCAACCCTAACCAAAATGCCGCCCCGAACGTCGCATGGAACATAGCAGCCATCTCCTCCGGTCTCTCCCTATTCATCGTCACCGTCACCGCAACGAACGTCTCCTCCATCGCATTCCCACCTCTACAAAGAGGATACCTTTGATACAAATCCGAAAAGGCTGTGGAGTTGGTGAAATGAGGGGGGTACAAAAAGATGATTTCCGCGCAAGACTTGGCGACGTGGTATTGATTTGGTGAGAGGACCAGGATCCCGATAATGAGGGGATAGAGCATTATTCTCAGTGTCAGGATCTGGATTCATTAATGTTGTGGTCAAATAGACACAGCGGGAGAAACAGAAAAACTCACGGATCCAATCAGCGCCCAAGTTCTCATCGCCCACACCCTGTGTAGATCAATTCTTAGCCCCCGGATCGCAGACCAGGATTTGAATATCGAAATGGTACTCCCAATCGCCACGACGATTATAAGAGATTGCGTGTCGATTGTCCCGCCTACGGACTTGGGGCCGAGTCGTAGCGCAGCTGGTTTTGGATGGTCAGTATCTTTCTGCTTTCCATAGGCCAGACGAGAGGGTTGACGTACTTATATTCCCAACGATCAACAGTACAAAAAGTAGCCTGCCAGAATATCTATGCAAACCAATATATTTCTTCCTCATCACAGGCAGGAATTGTAGCGGCAAGAGCATCCCAGCAGCTATCTCATAATCAGTACCCCTCTCCTCAATCTTCACGGAAACAGGAAGACCCACGGATAACGCATAATAAATGGACGTGTATAGCAACCTTCATCCCCCAGTCCTCCTCCCTTCCATACCAATATTCTTCCCCTGGTATGGAGGGCTTCTTCCAATTGACATGGCGCAGACAGAATATTGCGAATACACAGGCTGTTAGGAGGAAGTACACGAGATTCGATCTTCTCGTGAATCCCGTGATTCGAAGGAGTGCTGGTGGTGAGACTGTCATTGTCATGGTCGTCGGGAAGCTTTTGAGTCTTGAGATTCGCTGAGATATGTGAAGGTATTGAGGTCACTCTGGTGAGGTGTTGAGGCTGAAGAACTTGGAAATGAAAAATGGAACGTGAGAAGATTTGTATAAGGGACCCCATTTTATTGATTATTGAAGGCGAACGCGAATCTCTCGCGGTAAGAAAGGTTATACGGAGTGCAGATACGCACGTAAGAGAGATCCGACCAGGTGAATGTTCACCGAACTATCACTTCATTTTCACTGCTGTGCTGTGCTGTGCTGATGCTACGACAGTCAGTAAGATACGGACTGTCGGATAATTTCAGCTACCCACAAGGATGCGATGAAGAAACCGCAAAACCTAAAATCTTATTCAGCGGGTCGGGATTTACTGTAGCCAATAGCGATGAGGAAAACCCCCTTCGCATTTGCAAAGCATGGAGGGTATCGGGTGAATTTTGTGCCGCTGATCTGGGACTGGGGGGTGTACGGACGTATGACATTGACATGCAACCTGACGTCTGGATACAGTAAGCCTAGAGTACGAGTCCTCATATATCTTTCTTCTCTTTTGTTTAGGTAGGTAAGTACTCTCCCGGTGGACAAGAAAGTGGTAGAGATTCATTTTTAAAACTATTAGCGTAAGTTAATTCCAAGGGCTAAAATATTCAAAATATCTAGAACAATTACCCTCATTGTGCTATCGTTTTCGATAAATCATTTTAATTGTTCCAAATAGATAACATAATATAGTAGTTTTTAGTAAAGTTAGGATAAGATAAAAGAGATCTTTGCTACTTTTCTTGTCCACCGGGAGGTACTGTAGTAGTTATTGGTTTCGTGTCATATGACTTTTCTTCTTCTTCTTTTTTTTTTTTTTCGGGTTTAGGAGGTACATACCATCTAACCTCGTGAAATTGAAGAGGATGGATTTATCTCGCGGTAGTAAGATTACATCTACGATCTACCTACTCCCCTCAAAACTCAAAGAAGGATTCGAGATACTGCTGGTGCTGTGTTTCTTTCTTTCTTTCCACCGCGTGCGTGCAAATAAGTGGTGGCCAGATGAAATAACAGTCATCTTGTTTATTGAATCGAATTTGCGGAGTTGTGGTACCATGGGTTTTGACGGAGCGGTATGCATGGTTTTGTTTACATTGCTGTATGATATCGTGTGCTGTATGTGCTGTATGTATTATGTGGATGTAGAGCGTATACAGAAAGAAGGAGGGAAGTAGATACAAGGAGGGAAGGAAACATAATTTCGGTTCATTATATAATGGCATCATACTATCTACGCAAAAAAAGGGGAAACACGTCGGGTATAACAATAACAACAGCAACAACCACCCAAAAAAAGTTCCCCCAAAAACCAAATCCACCAACTCCATGCTCGAAGAAAATGCTCAAATCCAGACCCCAATTACCCATCCCGTCTATCATTATTCAATCATGCATGAAACCTCAACCTCGCAATCGAAAAAATCATATTCTGCAGCACATGAACCATAACCACCACACCCGTAGGCAACAATTCGGGGAGCAACCCCATATCCTTCTTCGCCTCCCCGGTAACATCAATACTCCATCCAAGCCAAAGGATTCTTCTTAATACCCAACCTGCAGTAGTCTCACACCCCCAGGTCACCATGGAAGCCCAGAGGGTAAGTCGGAAATTATACCGTTCTCCCCCATCGATAGGCAGACTTCCGCCATCGGGCAGAGGGAGTGAGGGTTCTTGTTCGAAGGCGAAGTAGGGGTAGACGTCTTTGTTGTTTCCGTAGTGTAGGACTAGGATGGAACCTAGGAATGCGAGCATGGAGACGTTTTCTGCGATTCCGCGGATGAAAACGTTCCTAGCGCAGAACTTTTGGTAGGCCGGGAGGGATTGGCCGTTGAGTGATAGTAGCTTTAGGATGTAGTGGAAGGGTTTGGAGATCGTGAGAGGTAGAAATATTATGAGGAATGTGGAGGATAGGATTTGAAGATATATGAATTGCTCCGGTGATCGAAGACGAGCATATAGGGCGCGAACGTATGTCTGATATGTCAAGGCAAAGTATCTGTAGGGTATTAGCACTATCGATTGATTATGGGGAATTTGATACTCACAGTTTGAAAATCCAACCGAGAGGGTAACTGCCTACCCTCTCGCCCTCGTCACCACCAAGGATCCATCCGACCAAGCCATCCAGCAAATGAACCGTCACAACCCAACTGTATACATACAGAATTGTGTGCAAAGTATTGTGTGGTAGGGTTCGTAGATACACCTCGGCATACGCCTCTCCCAACACATATGCCATCATTCCGATGAATAAGGCGGTGCAAAACCAGATAAACCTCACAAAACTAGCTGGAATCCAACGTTTTCTCATAAATCGTTCTCTACCTGTGGGATCTGTTGCAAGGGCAACTTCAAGGGAGGCATTCGGATCAAAATGAGTTTGCGTTACCGGGGCTCTTCTGGGGCGATTTCGAGCAATCATTGTATTTTCATCACCGGTCCACCAGGAAGAAGTAAAAATTCGCTGCGTCTCGGAAAGAGATTGGCGAAGTCCAAGGTGACGTTCGTGGTTAAGGAGAATTGCAAAGGCTATCAAAAGAGGCATAGCCATTGTGAAAAAAGTCCAGCATATCCAAGTGGTATTGTGGTTCGTCAAGTACCTCGTTTCCGGGAAATAGTAGACAGGTATTGGAACCACGATCGAGATCACTGCTATTGCAGATATTGTGAAGGGGAGTCCCAAGCTCTGCGGCCACCAATTCAAACTGTAGATGTTGAAGACCTTTGTGATCCATATCAATGCCGTGATGTTGTAGAAGCCGTAGTAAACAAACAGGAAGAACCAAAAGTTGATCTCGACCCGTGGTTCTCCATGTCCAGGTATCTTATGTCCAGAGGCCCCTGGGTCAACAGGTGGAACCCAATCGTCGTCGTCCGGCAACTCGTATTTGGGAATTGGAATGGCACACCACGCAACAGCCTAGCGTTTCGTGTTAGCCATTGCACTCATAGATACTGGGAAACGAGAGGTTCTTTGTGGGATATTGTGATGGTAAACTTACCAAAGCAGCCGGCATAACAATCAACACGGCCCATCTCGTCCACCATTTATCCACCACCCTCGCAACAGCAGCCTGCTTGGGCTCAAGCCATATATCCTTCGAATTCCTCGTCCACCGCCTTATGGCGCCCTCTTCGTCGTCTGAACTGTCTACTTCGCTCCCTCCATCTACCAAGCCTTCCCTACTCCCTCCAAAGAGCCCACCATATATTCCCAGTCCTGAACCCAAATTTGGCAGCAAACTATTCCTCCTCCTCCCGCTGCGATGCGTGTCCGGCACAGCTCGAAATCGACCGAGGAGAGGTGAGCTCTCCCTGGTCGCACGGTGGGAATCACGGCCTTGCTGGAAGTCGAAGAAGGAAGGCATCCCCGGAAATGCTGGTCTTCGTCCTGGACGTTATTTCTTTTGCTCTGTGCCCCGTTCCACGGTGTTTACATTGTTGCTGTGATCTGCAGCCAGAGGGTATTTTGGGTGGGACGAGAAAGATTGCTGCAAGGAGGGTCTTGGGACCTCGGGTTCTCGGATTCTCGGGCCGCTGATCGGTTTCACAATTCGGTAAAATACCCCCACCAGCCCCTTTACGGTGGCTCGGGTGGTACCACTGGGTAGCCTGGAAGGGAAAGGGTCAGAACTCATCGTTTCTCTCCAAATTATATAGTACTATACAAAGCTACAAAAAGTATGAACTATAAACTTACTCCGTCAATGTAGTATCAAGTTGCCCAAACAATGAATGGTAAAAGGCTTCTGTTGACAGAAATTAAGGCCTGCGGCTCTCTGAGTATCAGTATGAATTTCTTACCCGTACGCAGTTTTAAAACTCATACGCAAACAGAGGTCAATACTGACATGAAGACAAGAAAGATGCACTATCGCTAAGCTAACACTGCGCACTGTTCAGACCTCTCCCTGGTGACCCGCTAAGCGAAGTGTACATCACATCATGTCATCTGAAAATATGAAGAAAGGAGAATTTGAATTTGGTTCTCTACAGTACACACCTACTTATTTACGTCAAAATCTTGGGGCTGAGTAATACTGCTTATTTTTGAAGTGTCGTTACCACTTCTAAGCAGAAACTCTGCATCTTGTTTTGATATCATGAGGGCTATCACGAGCGACTGGGCAAATTTGCGGTAAAAGGTCTGAGCCTGATGGTATGTAGAGGCTGTTCAACCGCCATATGATGTATCATTATTTTCGTCACTTGAAATGGAACAGAGTCAGATTCATTCATATACATGTTTATTACTGCGATACTGTTTGTTCATTCACTCCATCCTATGCCAAGCAAATTCACACCTATCCTGTCCCTGGACAAAATAAATGCCCTTAACAAACTGACGTGATAGAGGCAATAATAAACTTAACGCAGAAGATCGGAATTGATGTCAGAAAGTCCTAAAATTGACATTTTGAGTTAAGGTACCTTCAGACGATGTCTTTATGGAAAGCTGCAATCTCTAACCTTTACTTTGAATCAAGAAATAAATAATGAAATTGTCCTATTAAAAAAAGAGTACAGAAACGCAAAAGAAAAGTATCAAAATTTCTGCTTTGTTGCTAGGACCTGCTGGGTCAAAATGCTGAAGAGTAGACGCGTGTTGCCTCAAACCAAACAGTAAGAGAGCGAGGAAAATTTGACTTATCTGGCTTTATCATTTTGAATTCTTAACATTGCCTTTAGAAATACCTCAAGATTAGATGGGAGTCACAGAATCCACCACTACTCACGTAGTAACTATACCCATGAGGCCACTGACAGCCCATTACGGGTTCCAACCGCCTGTACGTGCTCTGAATTAGGGTTGTTAAATCTAATTTTAGATAATTTATAAATAATTTATTTTCCTATCATTTATGATAATTAAAGATTTTGGTTCTAATATTAGATCTTGGCAATGAATATATTTCATATAGGGGGTGTGAATTAAGGGCAAATGAGGGTGTAGAAGTAAGCTAATTTTACTAAAAGATCTACGAAAACGTAGGTATATAAACTAGTACTTAATTCAATGAATTATCTATAAAGCTAATCTTCGTCGTTTATATCGTCCTCGCTCGAATCATCAAGCTTAATATTACTATCGTCGTCGTCGTCGTTCTCGTTATTATCTTCTTCCTCTATTTATATAAGCGCTCTTTTGAGTATAATAAGGTCTTCTTCAGGGACGTCAGGCTATTACAGTAGGATCTTCCGCTCCGAGATCACGTAAAATGCCACGTGACGCATATAATTATAAAATAATTTATTTTCAGATAATTGCCTAATTTACTCATTACAAATAATTTATATAAATTAGAAATAATTTAACAACCCTACTCTGAATAATCCTTGAGGATCCACTTCAGCAGCAACAGATCTTGCCAAAGCTAGTAGGATTGATCTGTTAAATATCGTCAATCAACCTATTCTCTGGGGCTTTGTTACAGAGTCTCATATGAGCTGCATGATTTCTCCATGTAAATCTGCATTTCCAGTTAGGCCGTGTCTTGATCAGAATCAGCTGTAGATGAAGTTCGTATCCAACCAGATTCTACAGGCCTTACCTGATGGTCTTCTCCAGAGTGGCACCCTGAGAAACCCTGGTGTGAGCTTTGCAATGTCATCCTGCAAGGAATTTTGAACAACAACTGCGTCACTGAAGCGTAGGCAGAGCATACATGGTAAATTCCTCCTAAATTACCGTCATATTCGTCAGGCATGAAGCTTTCAATACTTCTATTCAAGCTTGTCGGGTGGTGGGGTACGGCTATCTCGAATTGGTTCTGATTGACGAAGTATACTCTGAAAGGCATTTGACTGCATGCTAAAGGGAATTTCAGATGAGAAAACTCGGTACTATGATTCTGGAGGCAGTGTCACTACTATTGCGTTCTTTGTGTTGGGCAGACAGGTATCAATTTTCTTTCGTGTTGGTGGAGGCATCGATAGCAGCGTCAAGAGCCATTCGCTTTCATAAATACAATCATATGAGAATTCTTCTCTCAAGCTGTCTACTCGGCCAGATTAGTAATTTCACTGAAAATGAAGCCTGATACTCGGCAACGCCGGGAGGTGCTCAGTTCACTCGTACAAAACCCTTCTACTTCAACACAAAACCCCCAACAATTCGTCCCAAATACTGCCAAGTTGAAACTACCTATTTCCATACCAACTCACAAAGGAGTGTATTCGGCGGACTCATTGGTCTTTAGTTTTCTCCATTCGCGAATAAAAGTGATTGCCTGGTTAGCAGCCCCCAATCTTCGTGAAATGACAAGATGCCCCCGATTTATTCGGGGTTTCCTGGGGCTTTGGAGACTAGTTTCACCAAATAGCTCTGCTAATCCTTTGTATGATCTATTCGCTATATCTTCTTGTAGGTTAATAGCATACCAGGCTGACTCTAGCATTGAGTTATAGTAATGAAAACATACGGGTTGAACCGCGAAGCGTTGAGCAATCAGCTTGATGGTGCAGTATGCGACTTTCTCTGTAGTTTGGGTAAACGACCCCTCTCTTGGGGCCAGCCCCAATAGCGCAGCATACCACCATTCTTCACAAAACTCTGTGCCTAGTATGCAGCACTCGAAGTTGATTTTCTCCCACAAAACTCGATGAGACGCCAGGAATTGCGGTTTCAAAGTCTTGTATACATTTTTGGAAGACTCCTGCCATGTCTTGACACACGGAGGTTCGCCATCTACTGGAGGACCTCGAAAGTTTGAAATGTCTGTGTAATGTGAAATTTTCGAGGTCACCTGAAGCAGGAGGGGTTTCCATACAAGATCAGGCCTATGAGGACCTGGCTGTGGCTGTGTAGGACCGACGTAAGGTAATTGTGTATTCAACACAACAGTCAGGTCTTCGAGTAGTGGGAATATATGCAGCCAATGATTCAAATTCATGAACCATTGATTCCATGGGACCGCAAGGTTTTGTACGCAACTCAGCTGCAGGCTCGAGAGGCTTGGCCCAAAAAGAAAACTCTCTTCTCTTTGAGGGAGAACTACGATATCTCTTGCGCCGTCGACATATATAGGCTTTCGGTTTGGAAGGTGATTTGCGTCGTCTCTTGGGTCGGTTACGGTCTGCGTGTTTCGTTGGATATTGGAATAGTGAGATAGGTAAATGCTCCAGGAACCTCGACAGGTGAACATGTCTTCAAGCCTTCCGAGTTAGCATGCATCCGTAGTTTATTTTGTGAAGAGGGAGGAGAAGATGATGTAAGATCACATACGCTCATTGGTATCATGAGAGTCTGCATATTGATCAACAGCAAACTCAATGTTGTTTTCGTCATTCATAAATTGAATGCACACTAGTTTATGTTCTGGCAAACTCTCTTCCCAAATTTTGTTCCTGATCTAAGGCGAATTGGTTCAATTAGCATTTTATAAGTAAAAAGGATATGTACGAGGTTACAAAACCCAACGTTGACGTATGACCTTGGAATAAGAGAGGCGTTTGAGTACGGAAAAGACTTACCTCTCCTGGTAGGAATGAAAATCCAGGCATCAGTTTGGGCTCCTCTGAAATTCGCCAGTCTTCAAGTCTGACCTCTCCATGTTGAAGGAGATTATCAATGGCCCTCCCATTTTCATTTTCTAACGGAACAAACTTCCAGTTTTCTGCATACATCCCAGTTAGCTACATAAGCTTCCCAGGACAGAAAATGAAAAGGATGCTTACCTGGGTCGTATGTGTGCATTTGATGTACTTGCAAATTGTGTTCATTCACTGAAGGATTCATAGAAGGGGAGTGTTGTGGTTGTCTTTCTACATAGTAGGCATCATATGCATGATTCCTTTTATCTACATCTATTAAGTTCATCAGTCTAAAATCCAATATTCAACGGAATCGTAAATGACGATTGTACGTACATGATGGTACTTTGCTGTCTCTTCGTATAACACCATATTGTTGTGACATAGTGAAGTATTAAATTTTTTTATCCTCTTTGTGTCCACTTCCGCAAGCTAAACTCTCCTCCCGTTTGTCTCTGAGATAGGCAAACTCAGAACTATATTTGACGACGTCAAACCGACCGACTGGGTGAATGTAGGGGAAGAGAGCAGGGTGTGCAACTGATGTTGGGGTCAGATTTACGTGTTGTAGGGCGTAAATTGGCTTGATTGAGGGAGAGGCCAGAAGTGTTGACGTGTTGTGGGTGGTTGACTGAAGGGGAGACCGACGTGTTGACGTGTTGACGTGTTGGTGGTTGATCGAAGGAGAGACCGATATGTTGTGGGTGGACGTAACAGGCAAAAAGCGCGTTAGCCTTGGTCTCTCGCGTAATTTCTCAACCATACTTGGCAACCATCAAAGAGCAGTACTGGTATACATCGTCCAACAGATGCAAATGACTGAACTCAAGGAAAATAACTGACTGAACTTTTAACATATGCCTATTCAGAACTGGGAGGAGATGATTATTTTCAGCTTTCCTAAACCGACAGGGGTTGTTTATGCGTGAGGCTTTGTTTATGCGTGAGGCTTTGTTTATGCGTGAGGCTTTGTTTATGCGTGAGGCTTTGTTTATGCGTGAGAGCTTTATTTATGCGTGAGAGCTTTATTTATGCGTGAGAGCTTTATTTATGCGTGAGAGCTTATGTAGATTCTCGGGTGAATGCACCTCGGCTCAGAATATGTGATGAGATAGGTGGAAAGAAATCAAGTCGCTAGTAGTAAGAAGGCCTTTATCTTTCAGCTTTTGAATTGAACCTATAACAACTCTTCATCAACCGCGAAATGGCTTCCAAATTGAAATTAGAATGAAAACAAAAACCCAACGAATTATGCCCTATTTACAAGTATATCTCATATGCTCTTTTGATAATCATCTACAGGAGATGCCACTAGGCAAGTTATACTTTTTAGAGTAATGTAGCTTCCTCGCTAAAAACGAATCACTGATTTTTCTTATGACTAATTTTGATATCACTTGGTACTCACAAACGTAGTTTGTGGTTTTAAGCAATCATGTCTTATTCGATGCCTAATCGTTTAGGAGAAGTGAAATTTTGTATCTACGCTACAAACACTTACATGCCTCATTCCAGGTCACGTGGATATCCCCACAAGTAACAGCCCCCTGAAGTATATCACTGAGGGCTTCTATTATAATTACTTTTCGGATTTGATAATAAAAATTCAATTACCCTGACGTATACCTTACAGCAAAATTTATTGTTGTCAGGAAATCTGGGCGGAAAACTCTTCAATTAACTAAGTGCTAAGTGCTAAGTGCCCTGACTATTTATTTTAGGAGCGAGCCACGCTAGTCCGCATTGAGTAGAGCTAGCAAGTTGGCATGTGCCTGATATGGACATGAAGTGAATCACTACTCGTAATCTTTCTACTATTTCTAACATTTAACTATTAGTCACTGAAGTGCTATCTAGAGAATACGTAAAGACCCCTCCCCTAATGGCGTTCCAGAGTCGATGGCTTGATGTCGAAGTACTTGAGGATCTACTTACAATATAAAGTCACGGGCATAAAATGTGTATTTGAAGCCGCCAAAGTTTATTGAATTATGTGTATTTCTTCTACTAAGGGCAAAATTTATACGCTAAGAACCATTTTCTACATTCACGATAACCGACGATCTGTGCTATGGTAACCCTCGAATCGACTATTTGATCAATACCATGGGTAATTCGTCAATTAGACCACATGATGGAATTCTCCTACTAATTGACGAATCTTTGACTTCCGAAATATTCCTTACTTTAATTAATGATAAGAGTAATTTTTTTAATTTAAATACACCCTCCAACGCATGTTTCTCTATACTAAAAAAAAAAAAAGTAAAGCTATTCCTAAGTACGATTATTTCACCTTTAGTTTACGTCCGTCAACAACCCCTTTTGTCTCTTTGATCGTATTAGGAGAGGGGTACGGAGCCTATATTGCACAAGAATAGATATTCAGGGTAATGGGAAAATGGGAACTTGGAAGGGCTTGAGAGTAGAGTCCTTGACATAGATTAGTTGTTGTTGTGGTGTTGACAGCCCACATTCCATTCCTCATTCCACACCCACCACCCCACTTGTTCCACACCCTCCTAAGACAAATTAAAGGCGCATTATGAAATGGATTATCATACTTGTGACTGCTATAATGGTAACCATAAATTCTATGGCATTACGGTTACAATAGTCCAATGGACCAAAGGGTGGATTTGAGGGTTACCATAGCACGGATCGACATCTGGAACTATATTGCATGGAATTATCCCATTCCACTCCATCTGGAATAATTTCAGAGCACCTTTATAATGGGATGGAGTCATTACGATACTTAGTCTCTTCCACGGAATTCCACAGGGGTTTCTGATGAATGAAAATAGCAGGATCTAAGAGGCGAAAGGGATGGCCTATAGTGTAGAATATATTTGTTACATATTCAGATGCAAGTAATAGGAATAGTAGTCATTATGTGTACTCTATACTTCGCAACCAACCATAGAAAGACTAATAAACTACTAGATGGTTAAAAGAAGATGATAGACCTTAAAGGGGGAATATGTAACGGCTGTAGCCCTTACATAGTGATATAGCTGGCCTGCCGAGCTAGCCTAGTAGTACCTAGGTGTATATAAGCACCTGCATTCGTACGTAGAGGGTCTCATGCTCTCTTTCTTGCGACTATAATACAAAAGACCTTGTCCCGATCATTCCATATCTTGCTCCCGTCGTAAAGGGCGGAAACCGCCATCTTCCTTAATTGCAACACCTTGAGACATAAGGAGACATCCCAGGCCCCAATATGCAAAGTTTTCCGCATTTGCCATCGCTTCTTCACTCTTCTTGCTCTTAACAGCCTGCCATCTATATGCGTTTGGGCCCATGTCCATCCAAGTAGCACCAGTCCAGGCATTTTTAATCGTGTGGGCAATCTCGTGGAGTAGACACTCGGTGAGTATACCACCAAACTGGTCAATGTAATTGGGGCTTGAGTCGAGTGGACTAACATTGAGCTGTGAGACCGCAAGTGCTGGTGCCTTAAGTCAAACAGAACAGAGGCTGATCGTGCATAAATCGGGCTTTCCTAACTCGGTCACATCGCAATGGGTTTGGCCGCTTACAAATAACCCAGCTGGATTCCTAACATTGTCTATGCGGCCTGGTTTCATACGTTGCAAATTGACCGGTTTCCACGTTATACGGTTTTCACGATCGTACCACATGTCATTCGGGATTCCAGGAGTCTTTCCCGGTGGCCACCATCTTGCATCGTTATCACAGTAGACATATGTATTGGCGTCTTCCTTGCGTGTAGCAGCCTCGAGGTTAACAGCATTGATCGTCTCTTTCACGAATTCGAACGTGTCCTCGCGGTTGTCTCCCCACACAAGCCTGAAGTATATCCCAGCCTCGGTCGACGGGTCTGGGTTCGTATCCAAATTAGCCAGGGTGAGCATTTTCTGGACTTCTCCCCACAGCATCGGGGTAAAATATTGAGAACAAGAGTCATCAAACCACAAGGTTCTTATCGGAAGTGCTGCAAGTGCTTCGAAGATTAACAAAATTATGAGATATAACAAGCTTAACCGAAATCGGAATCGAGCAACAGAATCAAAGGCCATTCTGTATGTAGATAAGTGAGTAACAATACTCATGAACAATGACCTTATTCATAGCTAGAAAGGAACATACAGCTTATTTGGACAAAAAGAATACTCCTGCCTAAGCTAATACAGGGGCTAGTACGAAAATATATATAATACTTTAATATAAGCACGAACCAATTAATGTCGCTAAAGCGAGTTAATTTCGTTGAAATTAAAAAATTAATACCACATATACGAGCCAAAGTTAAATGTTACAAATACGGACCGAATACAACTCCGACTAATTCGACTTAATATTGATTGATAAGCAACAATATTACTAACTTTGACGGTTCCATTATCACTTTCACTGCGAGGCTCTGATCGTGACAGTCCTTGCTAATTCAATAAGCTGTGTACATTATGGGAAGTTATCCCTTTCCATCTCAATTAGTATCAGGAACCCAATTGAGGACGTTAACTATCGCTGAAGTCCTTTGGTATTGTGAGCATGAGTGACTTTATTATCAAAAATCCTACGAATACATAAGCATGTATTAAGTAACATGGAATGAAAATAGATAGTTATCACCTCATCTGTTGCCAGAAACAACTTGAACCGTGCACGTTGCCAAGAGTCTAAGCGATCTTATAGGACCCGATATCTTAGGGCCTGTTTTCCGAGACGATAGTAAGCCGTAATATCGTCGAATAGTATATTATATAGGCTATATTTAGCTCTCTAAGACACCGTCCACGTATAGACGCTAAGTGCCTAGTAAACTCTATTCCTAGTATCTTAAGGTATAATATTTCTCTTACTAAAACATATAACGAACGAACTTATTACTTAGACTAAAATATTATCCTTAATATTATCCTTATAAGCGCTTATATACCCTATTTTTAACCTTTATTAGGCGTCTATACTCTAAGTCTCTTCCTAGTTTAGAAACCTAGCTATATTATTTAAGTTTAGAGACTAAATCGCTTATTTACTTTCGAATATACTACCTAGTATATAGTATCTCCCCTCTAAAGTTCTCCCCGCTACTCCTTTCTACCGGAATCTCCGTTTCTATCTATATAAATTAGAAAGCTCTCCTTCCCACTCTAATCCTAACTAATTGTAACGAATACTCAAACTGGCTAACTAAACTTGGCTGGGTGTTCGCTGGTTGGTATGCTATGATAAGAAGAAGACTATCGGGTTGTTCACTTGGAAGTGAACTCGTTACTTGTATCAAAGATGTCAAACTAATATGATAAGATTGATAACTAAGTTGAGCACGAAGCTCCTATCTAATTGTAACCGTGTGGAGTGAACCACTGCTTGCTGTGATGAATACGGAGTCAAACGGAAACTGCTGTATTGAGCGAAC